ATATTGGTGAATAAAGTAGGCTTAGTCAATCGCATTACTGTGAATTAAGACAAAAAAGAGAAGAAAAAATAAAGTGTTAATATTGTTTTGACTATTACTCCCAAGTATATGGTACTCATTAATTTTATACTAATATAAAATATAACCAAATATTTCCTAAGCTAAATATTAGATTATTCCTAAAATTATATAGCAATGACTTACTAAAGATGTTAACATAAAATAATTTTATACATAAAAGAATAATTTTGCATTTTTACAATCTAATGAATTGTAAAAATTAAATATAAATATACCTTGTTGTAGAAAAACTAAAAGGAATTTTAAAGCTTTCAGGTATAATAGGAGAATAAGGCTTTAAAAAAATTCTGAGTAACTTCAGTGTAAACAATGTTAACAAAATATTAAAATTAGCCTGACAGGGAAAAAGTTTAGATACACCATTTTGAATATGAAACAATATTTTATGCCAAAAAGATCTTTTGTGAGCTTTATCCCTTGACTATAATCACTGGTCACTGGAAGTTCAGTAAGTGGCTCTTTAAGGAATATTAATTCTGTGTAAAAATTACAAAAATATCAGTTAATGTATAGCTTTACATAATTCCAACCAAAACTAAGATTTGTTGTTGCAACATGGCAGAATGTGTGTAAAATTTATCTAGAAAAATTAGTAAGTGAAAATAAGAAAATGGGAAAAAATGAGGAAGTGCTTACCATATATTAAAACATTTAAGTCCACAATCAATTAATTGGCTCATTAATTGAAGACCATATAGATATGTATACTAGATAGTTAAAAAAAATCATTAGGATACAGCAAAAACAAAAACAAAACATTATCTGGGATAACTGGTTAGCTATCTGGGGAAAATAAAATTTAATTTACAGATTTGTTTCAAATATCAAATAAATTACTTGTGGATCCAATAGACAAATATTAAGACAGAAAATAGAAAAAGTGAAGTAGGTATTGAATTTAGTCTAGCAAGGATAGGATATTCTAATTTTTAAATAAATATTTTTCAATTACTTCTAAAGATTGATATTTGATAACATCAAAATAAGGGCAAAAATATAAAGTGAACAAAAGTAAAATATTTCAGAAAAATGAATCATAGAAGACTATTTCTTTATACGCTATTAAAAAAATGTTCATTCAAATCAAAACCAAAAAGCTTTAAAGACTAAAGACCTAAATGGTCAATTCACAATATAAGTGGTGTTCATTCACATACGTAAAAATCTACCACCTAATCACGTTAGTTATATAATTCATATCAAATTTAGTGCCTTTCTTCTCATCCTGATTTACTTAAATGTCACTTTTTTCATAAAAACAGGAAGAGGTCACCCTTTTTCTCTCATAGCACCTTGTAGTTATCACGAGCTGTATTTATTTACTTATTCATAGCACTCCTATCCAAACTCCATGAAGTTTAGACTCTTACGTATTATGTTCAGTTTTGTGGCCTCCTCATTCGACACAGGTTCTGGCACATATATTTTACAGATTTTCACTGAATGGAAGAATTTGCACCTCACCAGAGTCCTGAATTAACTGGCATTATTTTGAAGTTGTAAGTTTGAACTGAGAACATTAAACAGCGTTGTATTAAACATACGGCTTCTGAAACAGTCAACAAATGTTAACCTTAAAATTTCAGAAGTCACTTGTAATACTTCATATCTACTAAGCATTAATAGTGCCAGGAATTGTACAAAATATTTTTCAAGTATTAACACATTTAATTCTCATGACTCTTCTACAAGGATGGTATTATCACTATGCCCTTTTTATAGATAAGATGATGCCTGGAGAAGTTAATTTGCATAAAAAAGACTGTATAGCAGATAGGTGGCAGAACTAGATTTGAACCGAGGTGATTTCACTGTTCAAAAATAATTCTCTGTATTATTAATTATAAATACAGGTCATGAACCTGGAAGGTCATGCCTTATCAGAAAACACTCCATGAAATTCAAAGTAGGACCTTATCTCAAACAGCATTAACCAGCTACAGATCAATGACGTGTGTGTGCGCGCACGCGTGTATATGCATGGTTGGGGGTATGTGGTTGAGAAGGTGTTTCTGACCTACTTCACTCTTATTTTAAACTGGGAAAAACAGATTATAATTATGTACAATATGAAGGGGTTAAGAAGGTGCTCTGAAAATAATACACATAAGACTCTTTTTCTCACAATCTAAGACCCTAAGCTCACTATCAACACTAACTGGTGGTGTTTCTTCCCCATTATTTTCATTTCAGAAGAAACCAAATCTTAACAAATGAAAACACACTCTCAAGGGAACCCTGAAACACTCTTTTTTTATAGTGTCATCAAGTTCACCCAAATGTGTAGCTAATTATATGTTCAAACTTCCATTACGTACAAAAGTCCTGTAAAGTTTAGTTTTTGATGATTGTATGCTTTTTCTAGGGGGATGAAAAAGTAGGGAGTGAGTAAAGAACCACCACCCTCCATTCAAGATACAAAAAGATCCCACTTCATAAGTTATATAAATGTCTAATGATTATGCTGTACACCAGAAACCAATATAATATTGTATGTCAATGGCAACTGAAAAATTTTAAAAATTATTTAAAAAATAAAAAAATCCCAAACTGGCATTAAAAGTACCTGTTTTCTTCATATTTTCAAGAGGGTAAAAGTCAGCAGAGGGTGTAGCAGTTAGTTAAGAAACACTATCTTGTGAACTCAAATTACAATAAAGCACAATTTGTGATATTTGCATTTTTAAATAAAAAATGAGAAAGCCGAGTCATTAACATACAACTATCTCATTCCTTGAAAGACAATCCAAAGTATGCCCATACCAAATACACATTTAAAACTCAGTATTTACTCTCTTACAGTGAATGGACCTCAAAAATCACACATTAGTTGGAAAAGAACTAATGTCAACGAAAGCAAGGTTTAGGAACTGTAATAAAGCACTGGTTGTTAACAGGAATTATGTATCCAGCCTGGGATGTTAAAGTTGGTTTTTGGTCAAAAAATTAGAGGCAAAAAACAATGTGATTTTTAGCTGAGGGTCAAATATTCACATAATGCCACGTGTAGAGATATTTTCAGTGGAACTCACAAGAGACATTTCATTAACTTATGACATTCAGGTTTCATCTAAAATATCACATAAAAAACTTTTTAAAGTCTTTAGTAAATTAAGGAAAAGACAGGCCTGAGGTTACCAAGTGATAAACTGGGCCTAGTCCAACTTGCACATAAATTTTGCTTGGCCACTACATTAAAAAAAAAATTAGGCAGAATCTTCTCCACGTTGACAGTCCCCTTACCACATTCTACAATCTTACCTATCTAGTTCTTGAAGGTATACAAGTTTGTGAATTTTGAATTAATTGAACATTTTGAGCAAATTAAGTCAAAGTGAATCATTATGCATTAGTTCATCTTGGAATTTTTCAAAAAGTGGTCTCTAAGTTATTTGATAAGTTGGCAAATGAAGTTAAATTCATATGATGCCCACCTCATTATTTTTTTCTTTTGACTTAACATTTATTTGAAGGTAAATGGGTCATTAGGGGAAAAAAAATTATGGTGCTGCTGCCACTTCACTGGAGAGTTAACTCTGATGGTATTTTACCAAATGCTCTAACATATACACCTTCTTATACACATCTCTGTTTCCCCAATTTATTTCCAAGTCTGTGTTAACAGTGGAATGCAGAAATACTGCTGAGCCCTACTATTAGCTTGTGATAGAATCATGTGTCCTAAGGTTCTAAATACTCAAAGTAGCAGCCGTGATTCTAAATTCTAAGGCCTCGATTACTTTCTAAGTACTATCTAGGTAGAAGAGAAATCAATCTCCCCTTCTTTTAAGATCATGGCAATATCTATAAAACTTAATCTTCAGTTTTCCAGTTCTGAATTACCTTTTCATTGTTTCTCAAAGAGTTAGAAAGCAAAAGTAAATTAGAAAAATTTAAATCTGCCACCTATGAAGACAGAGAAGCTCTTTTTAATGTATAATTCTTGGATTGAAAATCTATTCTTTATAGGAATCCCATGATCCCAGACTGGACCTTGTGTTTTCAGCTGTGTACCATTATTTCAAAATAATAAAACTATCCTGGAAAAACAGTGTTGTGTGTAAGTCTTATGAGTACCTAATTTTTAACCATTGATTAGCAAACTTACAGTAAATAAGACCTGAACCACAAAAATCAAATTCATTTATTTTTTGCCTAATCATATTAACCAATTCTTATTTGCAACCTTGCTGGCAATACTGAATAACTGCTTCATGTTTCTCCAGCAGTCTTGAGTTGAAAAGTAAGATTAATGAACCAAAGAGAAAGTCATTACTGAAGAAGTTACCTTGGAAACTCCTTCTACAGGTCATTTTTCATTTAAAGACTTTTGGAAGCATTCATGCGTATGATGATTGTTTCCTAAATAGCAGTCTTGAGACAATATAAAATGGTACTAAAAATAGTTAAAACCTATTTTTAACTATTTAGGGTTAACACCTAATTGGATAGAGTTAAACCTAATTGGAAAAGATTCTCTCTTTAGTTAAAAATTAGTAGACTTCAGATTTTAAGCAACATCAGCCTGTGAAGAATCCCTCCAAAGTGCACACTTACCATGTATTATGGAACCCCTACCACTGTGGCAATGTGCCACAAGGCAAACAAAGCTCTGCCTTGCTAGTGAGTAGTCGTACTAGTATTTTTCAGGGATTTGGTTTTACTACTTATAACTCCAAGTAAGCTCTGTGAGGGCAGGGTTCATGTTTGTCTTCTTTCCTACTATATTATAATACCTAGCTCATAGAAGTCATTTAAATTTGTTAATTAAATAAATGCTTTTGTAAAATTTATTCTATAATCACTTTGGTTATTTTTATGAGGTGATGTGTAAACCCAATTCATTACATCTTGGTTATGGGAAACCAACAATAATTCCAACTAATAACCAGTATTAACAGTCATTAAGATTGAATTACTTGTATTAGAATAAAGAAAACTTTATTTATAATCACATCTGATGTTTTCTTTCGAAACAGGTTATATACACCCTTGAAGATATATTATGGTAATAGGCAAATTATACATTTTTTACCTTTGTTTCAAAACACTTTAACTATTGTCTATGACATAGCTTTAGACACATCAGCTGAATTTGGGCTGGTCTCCCAATTTGAACTACATTCATGCCACCTGAATAGCATTCCCAACAGAACTGGTTTTATTGGGTTGACCAAAAAGTCTGTATGGTTTTCTTCCGTAAAATGAAAGACACATTTTATTTTCACCAGTAATTTTATTGATTTGGGTATTTGGAGTATGTTGGTTATCTCCTGCGTGGTAGAACGATGATTATTCTCTATTAATGTCTCGATTTGATTGCAATCATCTTCAACTGGTGTACCTGACCCTGGAGCATCGTCCAGGGAGAAATCACCACCACGAAGCTTTGCAAACCACTTTTGACATGTTCGAGCAGTCACAGCACCTTCTCCATCTTTCTTTGTGTTTCAGTTGTGTTTTTACCTTTCTTGAAACAATAAGCTTAATATGCCAAAAATGTTGCTTATTTCCTTCCATCTTCAATATTAAAATGGCTATGCAAAAATTCACCAATTTTGCTGTGTATTTTTTTAATGCACGCTGATATGACAGTTGTTACAATATAGTCTAACAAAATTGTTTCGAAAGAAGTTAAAGACAACTAAGCACTACTGGAGCCATCTTACAGGAAAAGATGAATATTTTGGTCAACCCAATAGTTTTATTTTTAAAAAATTACTACACTTTAGATGAGTAAAGAAAAAAGAATTGTAAAATTAAGATTTTAAGGATTCACCCAAATCCAAATTATTCGCTGTAATTCATGGAAATATCTAATTCAACCACTGAAAAATAGAACAAAAGGAATAGAACATTTTACTTCTAAATTCAGTATAAATAATAATTTAACACAATTAATTTAAAAGATGGCTGTTAAAAATAGAACCCAGAAAGTTCCTGCCTTAAATGACAAGCTGATAAATTCATCTGATATTTATTCCTAGTATACTACTTGAACATATACTACCACACAATTATTTTTCACAATGTTAAGAATAAACAGGCTACACTAGCAATGGTTCACATTTTGAAAATTAAGTCATTAAAAATTTAAAAAAAACAGTAAAAAATTTATTCATCTCACTGTTTCAGTATGTTCTGTTCATTCAAAATATTTTTATGACATTCAGTGAAATTCATTACATACTAAAAATAACACCATATTTATGAACAAATAAATTTATCTTCCCAGTAATAGCTAATCTTCCTTTAAGGAGACTTCCCACATATTCACAGTACATAATATCACAGAACACCCATATTTGGCCCAAATGCCTCTGAATAGTAGCATTACAAGATGGGAGTTCATTGTGCCTTATAATTTGATTGAGTTTTACCCAAATATCTTCCAGAGTTTGGTTATTACAAACAGCGTGTTCTATTGTCCATCTTCCTCTATAAAATGAGTGTAAGTTTAGTGCCTTTAAACTATCTTGCAATTTTTTGGACAAAGGACAAATATTTTTAGTATGATTTCTGCTGGGAAGTGAAACACTCCAAGACCTCTTCTTGTGCCATTTTCCTTTTTCTGATTGTTTATCCAGATTTCCAGAAGTAGTCTGTTCATTCAGTGTGTGTGACCGGATTAAGTGCTGCTTTTCTTTCAAATTGGGCTGAAACTCCAATAGAGCTACGGTGCAATCATAACTCTGTGATTTAACATCATATTCTGAAATGGTTAAGTATCGTTTTACATCTTCAGCAGCCTCTTCAGAAATTACAGGTGGTGATCTTTTAGGTTTGAGTGGAAGTTTGGACTCATCATATGGAAACCAAGGAATAAATCTCAATAGTGGATGTGTAGGAAAGTCTTGAATGGCTTTCTCTGCATTTTTTAGTAGTTGTGTAGGATCACTCTCATGTGGTCGATAATGTAATATTACTTCTGTGGTCATTCTGCAGTAATCCAGTTACTCATAATGAAGAGAAAATTTCTTAGCTGAGTTCCTCAGAGCTAGAATGTAATTTATAATTACAAGACTGTCTTTTTCCAAATGAGAGGGAAACCGGACCTAAAGTGGAAGTATTGCAAAGAATAAGATACGGTAGGGATAGCCTACATATAAATAGGCAGAAAGAAAACAAAAACCATTCCCAATATACTATGTTACCAAAGTGCTATTGGTAAATGTGAATGTAATCCACAAAATTGGAAATACTTTCCATCTCACCAAAATAAGGGATTTGAATTAGATGCCCTATAAAATCACTTGTAGCCTAAAAATGTTAATAGTCAATTTGCTTAACTCAACAGATAATAAAGGATTTGGAAGTAATGATATTAATACAGTAGGTAATAATCTTAAGACTACACAAGAAACAAAAATTACTCTTATAATACTAGATTCATATAAAGATAACGAAAAAATGTAATACTTAAAATTTTGAGACATCTCAGTAGTAAACACTAAAAACATAAAAATGGTTTAACTTTGCATTTTTAACCAAGCTAGAAACTAGTTTTGTGACAGTCACCTCTGCCTAACTGGGGCACTTAAGCAGTATCAACACCTTAGTGCCATGGCTCCTGAATTCCAATTTGTTGGGGAAACAAGAAGGCTAGACCCTTATTTTTTTTTCTTCTTAGAACACAGAAGTCCTCAAGTTGCTCCAAATTAAGCATTGATAATAAGTTCCAGCATATAGTACACAGAGCCAAGAACAGGACTTCCCAGGATATGCAAGTTAGGTTTCCTTACCAGGTCCAAAAACCATAATGCAGTCTTTCATGACTTGCATTGAAAAAAAGAGGTTGAATTCCTTTTCTCCAAAATCATTAAAGAACTACTTGATGTGGGTTCTCCCACTGTCAGGATAACAGTAGTGAGAACTCCGCGCATGATGTCACAATACTCATTTGACCACTGATTCTGATGAGTCAAAAGAATTAATCTCATAATGATTATTTCACCTACTGTTAATGTCCACTAACAGATTTGACAACCCTTGAATTCATAAATGATGGTGATTCTTAATATCCTTAATTTTTAATATGGATCTAAATATAGATAGCATATTCTTTCAAGAATTAATGTTTTTATTTTTCCCTTATACTTTCACATAAGATATGGCATTGAGAATTCTTTCAGTATTGTTGAAACTTATTCAGTGTTGTACTCCAGAGATAACTGAGGTTGCAGTTTCCTTAGTATTTTACATATCCAAGAAAGTGAACTTAAATGACCATATAAATTCAACATCAGTAAAATTAAAATCTGTGAAATCTTGATTAACTAGAACAATGGGGAAGAATAATACCAGAGTTTTAACAAAGCTGAAACTATTAGTGACTATCAAAGCACACTTGTCCTTTTAGGCTGGTAAGATACTCTTTCTCAAATTATCTTTTGCTTTGGAAGATAAAGAACAGAAAACTAAAAATTCGCAGTGCCAATTAGCCTCCAAATCACTGAAATTTTACTGTGTTTAACAGCTACTAATTTGTATAAAATCACACCTAGCAGGTAATAGAACTGTACCAAACTCCCATCAAATAAAACTGGTCTAAATTCCCATCAAAGTAGTCAATAATAAGGGAATGATCTTTATTTCTTTCATTAGGATACAACATGGACTCTTGGGAAGATGGAGGAAGGCCTTGTGTTGAAATAGTGCCTGGATCACTTATTAGCTTTGTGATTTTAGAAAGTTTCTTAACTTCTGAGAGTTAAAGAAACTTTATTCCACATATTTGATTTGAGGTTGAGAGACAAGAACCATGACACTTCCTTTTCTTCTTTTTCTTCAGGAATAACCCATTTCAGTCCAGCTCGTTTGCTCATGCTAAGCTTACTGGTCCTTTTGCTATATTGCTTAATATTGAGCTTCCTTAATTCTACAGTAAGAAACCATCCTGTTAACCAGTATGATTTTATGTTACAAATAGGACTGGTGAGCTTCTGGAATGTTTGTTGCCTACATCACAGCCAAGGCAAGAGGCGGGGAGGCCCCTCAAAATGGCTATCACAAGGGAGTAAGTGCAATGTAACTGAATTCAAATGTCCGCTGAGCATTTTCTCAGTTCAGTCCAAGAAGGTATTGGTAACCACATAGAAGAGCATCCAACAAATAACAAGTGCACTTGTGGCATAGAAAAAAACAGATAACATAAAGCTGAAAGCATTTAAAATAAAAGTTTTTCAGAGAACAATAGGAATTCTAGAAAATCTCTACACTTTTCCCCCCTTATTTAGGAAATGATCTAATTATCAAACATACTCAAATTTATTGCTGTGTACAGAAAATAAAAGTTTACGTGAATTTTCCTATATACATAATATTTTGAAGTAAGCTATAGCAGATTTTAACAAACCTAAATTATTTGTTAGTACTGGGTACTTCAAAATCTTTGGCACTGCTGTTGCGCAATACAGGACTAGTTCTACAGATGAAGTGGAAGCATGGTAACTTTGTCAGTGCCGCGCGAACAGACAAGAGACAAAAGAAAATCACTTTAGATGTTACCTTGGTTCACGGGGTTCTCCCCGGGTAGGGTGATAACAGTTTCTGCGGCTAAAATCTGCCTAGTGATTGTAGCAGCACCACATAACTGAGTAAGTGGCTTACCAGGTATCTATCTATTCCCTTCTAGAGGAAGGGGATCAAACCTAAAAAATCAAAAAATTGAAACTGCTTCCTGCTGCCCTCGGCACCAAGGGACAGAGCAGCAGGCCGAGCACTGACAGTGTAAGGACGACGAGGCCCACATTCCAGAGAACAGGTCTGTGTGGGAAAGGCCTGGAGAACTAGAGAAAGAAGGGGAAAGAACAGATTAAGGGAAGTCAGGTTCGCAAACGTTTACCTTTCAGGGCCAGCAGGTGCTCCTGTTTGGGGGGATTCACTTCCATTTTGACCGGCACTTTAGATCCAATGCCTACGGGGGCTGAAGAGGTTCAATCCAACTCGGGAGAGAACAGAAAAGCGCACTTTAAGGGAGACAAGTTGTCAAACACACTCCCATAGTTTTTCCCTTCCGGTGATGTCTTAAATTCTCTTCTTACCACGTCCTTTACTGACCCAACGTCTTCTTTTTACCAAGGCCACTACATAAAATAGTATGTTTTCCAGCCGCAACCACACATCCTGACCGCCAAGAAACCTCTCGCCGGGAACAATTCCGGGCCTCTGAAATTGCGACTGCCGTGGCACGCTGGGACTTGTAGTTTATACAAAAACCGCCTTGCATGCAGGGAGGTGTAGTCCCTCCTTTTGCAACTGGGGACACGATCTCTAGGGACACGAGCCCTAGAGCGCGAGTTTCACCCTCCAACTTTATTTCTATTTTAGCTTTACTTTTTTTTCTTACCTTTTATCCTTCCATCAGTTGCAGACTCCTTGATAACAATAAAAATAACAAAGCGCCTTGCGCAGGGCTGTGCAGCGAAACAGCTAGTGACTGACGGGAGGAATGAGGAAGTCGTGGGAACAGCCTTGGTCACCTCCCCCCCCCCGCCCCCAACCCTCGCCGCGCGTCGTATTGCGCCTGTGCGCCAGTGGCGGGCGCCAAGGCCCCTGGGTAGGAGGCCCTATCTACCCCGCCCCTCCGTTGAAATCCCTCACGGTGTCTTGCTGCGGCGCCGCTCCTCCTAGGATGGCTGCCCTGGTTCTAAGCAAGCCTGGAACCGGGCTAGACAGTGGCCGTCAGTGCAGCCGGGGTACGGCCGTGGTGAAGGTGAGGGACCTTGCGTGCTGTGTTTTTCACCATTGGCCTCCCTTCGGTTCATCCCGGAGATCTGGCTGCAGCGCCGCGGCCCTGGCTTCTTGGGCTGGGATGTGCGGCCTCTGGGCCCCTGTCGGCTCTACGAGCCTTGCCCTGCTGTCCGCGACTGGACATTTGTGAAAAGAAGGTTATAGGCCTGTGAGAGTGACCTAGGCTGTTCTTCCCCCAGGTCTTCTGCTTTGAGTTAAACTCAACAGGCATTAATTAGCTTATTATTAAATCAAGCCGTTATTATCGCCAGGTACTAAGGTATTTTAACTCGTTAATATCTGCTGATGAGATGGACGTTTAATTCCCGTTTTACGGGTGAGGAGACTCACCCGTATAGATTAACGCAGTGTGTGGCAGAGCCAGGGTTTACTGGCTTTAAAGTTTGCTTTTCACTATTGCATTACTTCTATGACAAGACATCAATTGCTGTGTGATCCACCCCCTCCTTTTTTGGTAGTGTAGTTTGTAAATACTTTTAAGAAGTTTCCACCTGGGTCTCTGAATTGCTCTATGCTTGAAGTTGGAAGTTCTGCCCTGTGTAAATGCTTCAGTGTGCCTTTACTTAAAAAATCAACTGAAATATAGTGGAAGTTATTTTTCCCTTTTACTATATATATGGAAAAGTTTGAAAGAGAGAACTGATCATAATGGTGTGTAGAATACCTTCAGGGTTATATGTAACCTGAGATATTGATAATTCTCATTCCTGGCTACATGTTACACTCACCAAGGACTTAAAAACAAACCAACCAGCAAACAAAAAAAAACACTAACTATTGATGCAGCTCATTCCCCCAGTTCTGATTGACATAAGTATATTTTTTGTACATCCCTAGAAGTGAGTTTAATGTGCAACCATGTTTGAGAACCACTGGACCAGATAATAGATAATACCTGAAGTATTTTTAATCTTTAATAATAGCCACCTATGATTTTTCACCTAATGTGGGTTTTATAGGACAACAGATGATGCACTGCTGCTCACAACTGTATTTTCAGTCAGTGTTAGTGGTTGTTGATTCATCTGACCTTTATACATTAATGAAGTTATTCCGAAAATACACAGCGTATCCGAGATGCAGAGGAACCCTCGTATTATTAGGCATGCTGTATAGTTGAGATTTTATTGAATTGTATTCTTTCTTAGTAGAGAATACCTGAAGATTATTTTGTAAACTAACTTGAATTAAGAGGTTGTATTTGAAGTGAATATTATTACTGTATCTACTTTTGTTAACCTGTTTATCTTAAAATCTCAAGATACACTAAAGCCTGATAGAACTCCAGCACACGGTTTGATATATTAGAGGCTCACTTTGGTCATTTTCATATTTACCTGTAAAAGGTGCCCGAGCTGTGCAATAGGACAGCCCTTTATGGAGAGTCTCATGCTGTAATGTGAAGAAATATGGTGGCATAAATTAAAAAAAAATTGTCATTTTCATAGATGAAAACACGAATATTAATTGGAAGGGAAGAGTTGAATAATGCTAATATTAAGTAGAATGGTCTCTTGTTTAATGAACACATTGATAATGGCAGGGTTTTTATCATTAGAAAAACAAATAAAAATCTGAAATTATGAAATTATTTACATTCAGAAAAGAATCATAGGAGTTTCCTTTGAATAGTAAGCTTTCATCCTTTTAAAATATGGACTGATAAATTAAAATTTGATTTACATGTAATAAGTACATGTAATGAAGTCCTCTCCTCTTTGGCATATTTGTGAAGTTTATAAAATTAGGAGCTGTTCTCCTCTCTAGGACTTAATTTATCTTATATTATTAGCCAAAATTCCTCTTCATAAATACTGAAGCAAGAATGTCTTACTCTGTTATTTACTGAGTTGATGCAGAATAGTTTAGTAACTTTATTTTTGGACCTGTGTTTGGTTTACTTGAGTGGAATTTTACTAGTGCTTTTTGAAAAAACCCATAGTAGCAATATAAGTTATTTTATCTTGTGCAATAAGATCAGAGATATAAGATATGAATTAACTAAGTAAAATTTTAATTTGCTGCTTTGGAGTTTATTGTCATAAACAAGTAAAATTTATTGTGTTACATTAGTGAGAACATTTGTAAAAAATGTTGCATTTATTTTATAATACCTAATTCTGTGGTGAATAAATATCTTCTCTGTATTTAATCCAATTTGATATTTAATGAAACTTTTTCTCTGCATTAAAAAAATACAGGATAAATTGAAGTGTGTGTGTATACTATATATATAACTTATGTGCAGCTGTTCCCTAACTCTCTTACGTAGGTTTGCAGTGTCTGAATGCACCATAGTTTCTTTCCATTCTTGTGTTGATGGGTACTTTGTTTCCAATCTTTTGCAAATGTAAATGGCACTGTAAGGATTAACATATAGGTCTAACAGGATGAATTCCTGAAAGTAGAATTAATGAGCTGTTCTAACTTTTGGTATTCCTTGTCAAATTGCCTTCCATAGGAGAAGCTGTATCAGTCAATAAAACATTTTACGGCAACCAGTAATGTATGAGAGCAATGCTCTCCCATACTTGCACCAGTACAAAGTGGTGTTAACCTTTTTGATTGAATCTGGGAAAAAAGTATACTAGTATATTTTTAATTGCATTTCAAAGTGTTTTGAGTGAAAGTGAACATCAGTTGAACAATTAAAAAGACTGTTTTCATTTCCTTTTTTTATGAGCTATGTATTACATTTAAACTTTTTTTGAACCATATTGGGATGCAAGCCAAATATAAGTTACCTGTTTATTTACAGTGAAAGATGTTTGTATTTCAAGCAGTAAGTCCAAAATAATTGCTATTAAGACTAAAATTTTAATGGAGTAAGTCTGATTTTCACTCTGGGTTTCCTGTTTTGTTTTGTTTTTTTACCTGTGTAGTGTGTTTTTTTGGGGATGGTGGTTGGCTGAACCATTTTCAATTTTTTTTTGTGCTTTATTTATATCAGCCCATTGGTGTTGGTATTTGGAATACCCTGTTCCTGAGGACTCTTTGTTCTAACAGGAAAGACAGGCTAGAAAACCTATAAAGGTATTATTTAGGTGTTAAGATAGACACTTATTCATGATACGTGGGGGCCCCAAGGATACTGTGGTCATTTCAGTTGGACTGAGCTGTGGGTAGTCCTGAGAGCTATGGTGTTTAGGAATTTGTTGGTTTATTAATGTAAAAAAGGATTCACTAGAAGAGTGTTCATTTAGCTATTTCCTTGGCATTGGCAGAAAGCAAGCAGCTAAAACAGTTTGTCATGTTCTGGGAAGTATAAGCTGTTTGGTACAGTTGGAGAATGCAGCCAAAAGGGGTGGGAGTGAAGCAGTAGGGTGGAGACCAGAGTGTAGCAGGTCATGGGTAGAAGGCACAGGAGTGTGTGGTATAATTAAACAGTTCAGTGTGGATATTCCTCTTTAATTAACTAAAATTGTGAAACACTTCAGATATATTAAGAAATAAAAGTACCAAAAATCTTTCATTGGTACATAGATGTTGACTAATTATAAAACATAAACTCATGGGCCTAGGAATAAGAGTATGCTGGTTCTGTCTGCTTTCTTTTGATTGACTACATGGCCTTGGGCAAATCATGACCTGTAATAGACAAAATATTTCCTAACCCAGTGGCAATTTATTAATTGAGAACAAGGAATTGAAATTTAAGTCAAAGATGATTGCTTTCTTGCTTTTACATTATATGATGTAAGTGGGTACTGGAAGATACTTCACAATTATAGTCTTAACATGCTGTTTACCATGTAGAAGGGTAAATTGTCATCTTCCCACATATTTCAAATTATTTTGTTCAAAATGATGATGTTTTGGAGGTTACATAATTGCCGAGAAATTGTTTAGTAACCCAGGTTTAGGAGAATTATATACTGTTACAGATCAGATAGAACTAATCAAGTCATAATTTTTAAAATATAAAGATGATGTTAATTTACAACGTTATCTTAGTTCTTAACATTTAACATTTCAAGGAGATTTCACTCTGATTTATTTTGGTAGGGTGCGTCAGATGAAATGATAAAAGGTTATTTCAAGTTTTACAACCTAGACAATTATATTTTTTCACAGAGGAATAAAGTAATTTAACAAACTTTACTCAGTGTATTAAATCAACATTTTAAAAAAACTAAAGTATGTATGCTTTTAAAATCACTTAAAGACCACATGTTCTCTTTCCAAATATTAGGTGCTGGAGTGTGGGGTTTGCGAAGATGTCTTTTCTTTGCAAGGAGACAAAGTTCCCCGCCTTCTGCTTTGTGGCCACACAGTCTGTCATGACTGTCTCACCCGCCTGCCTCTTCACGGAAGAGCAATCCGTTGCCCTTTTGATCGACAAGTAACAGACCTAGGTAGGAAAATGTACATGTGTATATTGAAGATTTAAAACTGTTCACAGAATATAGATGTCATAGAAAGAAGTTTCTTTCTGCTTGATCTTTAAAATTATGTAATTCCAAGGAGGATTCAGTTTCTATTAAGGCCAATAGTCTTGTAAGAATAAACTAGTTCATTCTTAGGTACTAATTTTATTTCATCTTCTGAGATGTTTATATTCAATACATACTTATATTTGAAGAGTTTTAGAATACCCGAGAAAAACATGCTAACCTTATTCAAAGAAATAAGAAAATTCACTTGCCTGAAGCCATTGATGCAATAAAATAATGTTTCCTTAATAAATTAATAGGCCAATAATGAAAATACAGTTAAGTAAACATGAGTGTCAGCATGTTTTTATTTACTGGTTTTTGGAAACAGAAGTGTTTGTAGCTTGTGGTAACTACCTGTTTTCTGTTTATGTAAGTTTAAAGGTCTTGTTGATTTTTTTTTTTTTTAGTTTCTTGCATACTTTTAAAACTTTGCTGTATATATTTCAAAATGGATTATTACTATGGGAAACCATATTTGGGAATAATAACATTAACATTTCAACAGTTATTTTACAAACATAAGTTCTATAAGTGTACTCTTTTGATAACAGAATTTTCTTCAAAATAAATAGTTTAAAGTTGTCATTTTTTATTAGGTCAGTAGCACTGTTTTAAGGCTGTTTTAATGTATTCATGCCATATGTAAAGTGGAACACATTCAAAATAATTTATCTTCCAAAAGAGAAAGCAAGAATACCCAGATTTTTAGACTGGAAAGCTTTAAAATACTAAGAAACATGATTATAAATGTTTTCTTTAGGGAAGGAGTAGGCTCCTAAGGTTTGGTAGTCTTTGATTTAAATAAATATATAGTATGTCCATTTGCCAGAAAACTGATGTAGGACACTGTTGGCATTATTATAAATAACACTAACTTACTATTATCCAAGAAATAATAGGGGCAAAGGCGGAGATATTTGTATTTCAACATTCTTTTATTTGACCTTTTATTCTGTAAGGTAGATATTTATCATACCATCTTTATAGAAAACTATCTAGAAATATTTATTTAGAAATAATGTTTTGTAAATGGAGGATGGACCCTTCTACCTTTTTCAGTGTACTTCTCTATGTAAATACCACAGCGTGGGTTGTAACCACGCTCAATGTTTAACTAAACTAGAAATTTATGACAGAATGGTTAATTATATCCTAGGTTGAAGTTAAACATGATTGCTACTATATCAACATTCAAAAAAACAAACCAGTAACTCTGCCTTGGATATTAGAGTGCAATTAGTACAGCTTATAGGTTAGATTTTTACCGTGATTTTTAGCCTATGGAATATGTGTTAGTGACCCTTGATATAGTTTGATGTCATTGTTTTTAAAAATATTTTTAACTGTACTATAAAATAATGGGTATATATACATTGCAGAAAATTTGAAAATATATAAAAGTATAAAGAAGAAAAAAAGTCATTTGTAATTCCTCCTTTAGAGAGGACAGCTATTATTAATGTGAGAGAATCAGAATCAGAATTATTCTCTAGTCCAAGAAGAATATTAGTAGTTATTTGTGGTTGTTATCAGTATGATTCAGCGATATTTCTGGTTCTTCTGTTCACATGGTAAAGTTATACTTCCCTACTCTTATAGTTAGGTATGGCTGTGTGATTTCCTTTTAACCAGTGAAATATGAATAGAATGAAGTGTAAGCTTCCAGACAGAAGCTGTTAAGAAAGGATTTATGATGGTTTACAGTAAATTCTTCTCCCTACTACAGTGAGGTGGTCCGAGCGATTAGAGGCTCAGTGGTCCATGTCCCTGATCATGGGCAGTAGGGAACACAACCCTTCTTGTGTTCCAACCCAATATGTTGCATGAGAAAAAAGTAAATTTTTGTTGTCTTAAACCATTGAGATTTTAGGGTTATTTTGACAGTTACAGAAGTATTAGTGATATACTAGATACTCTTAGGAGTTTATGTGTACATGTTCATTATTTAATGACAATATTTGGAAAACTGTCAGGATAATACTTTAAAATAAAGGACTCGATTAGTATACTTGTTAACCCTTATGTAAATGAAGTCAATAAAACTCCATTTACATACAGTTTGTTATAGAACATGAGTGAAAAATTGAAACAATTAAGGAGAAAGCCTTGTTGGGTAACAAGGTTGAGGGCAGAATGCTAGATCAGCTGCACAGAGGTACTTGGGAAAGGAGGTCACAAAAGTCAGAGGAGGGTAAAGGTATTTAGCCTGGTTTGAATTTTTTTTGGAGAACCACAACAAGAAATGGTTTCTTTCCTTTCCTTTTCCTTTTCCTTTCTTTCAAGATAGGCCAAGAGGAAGAGGAGTCTTGCAGTCGGTGACCCCATCATTCTTTCATGTATGCATTTATTCAGTGAATATATATTAGGTGGCAGCTATGTGTCAGGTGGTATTTGCTGCGTAAAAGCTCACCATAACAAATATAACAGACTGCTGAACGATCTGGCTTTTATTTATAGGCTCAGCAGGGGGCGAGGGGCGGGTGGCTGGGGAGAGGCACAGACAGACAGACGTGGCCAACCTGAGAAAGAGGGAAGGAGGGAGGGAGGATGAATGAGAGAATGAGAATGTATTTGCACGTGTGCATGCATATGTGTATACTCATCTGGCCTTTTATGGTCAGTTCTGGGGAAAAGAAGCATTGGTCCTTATTCAAATGTGCCTAGAGTGTTATCTATCTAAAAGGGATTATTGTCTTGTTTTGGTGTATCTGTGTGAGAAGTTTATATAGTCATTAATTGCTGTGGGGTTTTAGGTTAGATGAGGGGTGGAGAAAAATATTATCTTTAGCTGTCCTAGTTCCAGTTAGAGATGGAGTTTCTTTAGGTTTAGTATATCTTTTGTAGAAACATAAGTCATAGCTTATTTGTGGTCATGAAATCAATTTAATTGGTTGTGACAGAATTTCAAAAAAAGAACTAGATCTAAAAACATCTGTGTGTTGCACAATATAAGGGTGAATATTGATGTGTGAGAATTTTGGAGAGTGAGATATATAAAAATAAATAATATATGATCCTGAGTTGCAGTGGAAATTGTACTTCTTACCATAGGTAGCTATAAAAATATTTCAAACCACTTAGTTTAGGATATATAGTAATAGTTAGTGACAAAATAGAGTATATAAAATTAAATGATAGAAAAATAATAGAACTTTACGTTTCTACTTAGAATGCTGAGGAGTTTTGGGGTTTTTTTAAACTTAAAAACAATTTTTTTTTGAGAGAGAGAGAAACAATGAAACATCAATTGGTTCTACCTATTTATGCATTCATTGGTTGATTTTTGTATGTGCCCTGACCAGGGATCAAACCCATTACCTTGGTGATGCTCTGACCAACTGAGCACCCAGCCAGGGCCTTGAATATTAAGATAATTGTTCTATAATAAAAAGAAAATGGGGAATATTTGCATTTTTTAAAATTTAGACATTATTAATGGTTGAACTGTGACTTAGAAACTACTATTTAGGTATAAGATAAAATGATTGAGGTTGCATTCTGTTTGATTTTGTATTTATATTTATTCTAGGAGATTCAGGTGTCTGGGGATTGAAAAAAAATTTTGCTTTATTGGAGCTTTTGGAACGACTACAGAATGGACATATTGGTCAGTATGGCACTGCAGAAGAAGCCATTGGGACATCTGGAGAGGTAATGATTCAACTTGGTGAAATATTTGTTATAAGCATGAATTTTTACTTTTACTTTAAAATATTTGCCATTAAAAGCACAATATTACCTTACTTACTCCAGCAGGTAGGATCCCAGAAACATAACTTCGTTACGTTACAGTTCTAAAGGCAACAGTATTCCCAAGAGAACAAAAGTAAAACTGAAACCTGAATTCTCTGTTAATACTATACCCACACTATGTTTTGTGTATAAACTTGTCTCCTTATCAGAATTCCTTTCTATCCCAGAAAGATCAGAGTAAAAAGATTATGGCAGAGTAAGAAAGATATGTAAATTACATTAAAGCAGAGGTTGCAAAAGTAAACCAGTCAACAGTAAAACACAAAGAAAGAAAGAGGAACTCTGTGAAAGAGGCTATTTAGTATAGAAGCAAAACCCCTTAAAGAGGCTATTTAGTACAGAAGCAAAACGCCTTAAAGATATAGCACTAGCTCCTGAGAGAGTTAATACGATTAAGTATCTTTACGATATTTATGAATACACCTATATAAAATATCTTTTATTAGTTCATGATTTTTTTATGTAAGTATAGCATTGAAATGAATTTCAAACTGAAGCAGTGTGAGGTTTTTTTGTGAAATTTTTGTGGTTCTTTCACATGCTGTATCTTTTATCTTTATTTCGAAAGACATTAGAATAATATAGAATCATATCTAATTATTTGTAGAGTCTGGAAAACAGAAGACGTGAATTTTTTATTTTACATATACACATTTTCCATAATTGCAAACAAAATGGTTTAAACTTTGGTTTTTTTAAATTTAATTTATTAATAAAACCATATAGGTTTCAAATGTACAACTCAATAAAACATCATGTGCATATTGTATCATGCGTTCATTGCTCAAAGTAACATCTCTTTCCGTCCCCATTTATCCCACTTTTGCCCACTTCTGCCTCCTCTCATGCCCCTTCCCCTCTACTTTCACCATACTGTAGTCTGTGTCTATGTGTCCCATATATATTTTTTCCTTAATCCCTTCATTTTTTTTTCACCCAGCCTGCCCAGCCCTCTTCCCCTCTGACTGCTGTCAGTCTGTTCTGTTTATGCTCTGTTTCTGTTTTATTTGTTAAATTATTTTGTTCATTAGAGTCCACATTTAAGTGAGATCATATGGTATTTGTCTTTCTCTGACTGACCTGCTTATTCCACTTAGCATAATAATCTTCATGTCCATCCATGCTGTTCCAAAAGGTAAGATTTCCTTCTTTTTTTACAGCCAAGTAGCATTCCATTGTGTAAATGCACCACAGCTTTGTTTTAGCCACTCAACTACTGATGAGCACTTGGGCTGTTTCCAGATCTTGGCTATTGTAAATAATGCTGCCGTGAACGTAGGGGTGCATATATTTTTTCAAATCAATGTTACGGGTTTCTTTGGATATATTACCAAAAGTGCAATTGCTGGGTAATAATTTTTTGAGAACTCCATATTGCTTTCCACTGTGGCTCTTCCAATTTGCATTCCAACCAACAGTAAACGAGGGTTCTCTTTCTCCCCATGCATGCCAACACTTGTTTGTTGATTTATTGATGATTGCCATTCTGATAGGTGTGAGGTAATATCTCTTTGGTTTTAATTTGCGTGTCTCTGATAATTAGTGATGTTGAGCTTCTTTTTGTATGTCTATTGGTCATCTGTATGTCCTCTTTGGAGAAGTGCCTGTTCAGGTCCTTTGCCCATTTTTTAATTAGGTTGTTTGTCTTATTAGTGTTGAGTGTATTTAAGTTCTTTATATATTTTGGAAATTAACCCATTATCAAATTATTATTATTGAATATGTTCTCCCATTCAGTGGGTTGCGCTTTCATTTTGCTGATGGTTTCTTTTGCTTTGCAAAAGCATTTTAGTTTGACATAGTCCCAATGTATTTATTTATTTTTCTTTGTTTCCCTTGCTGGGAAGTATGTTAGCAAAAATATTGCTACAAGAAATGTTTGAGCTTTTACTGTTTACATTTTCTTCTAGGATTTTTATGGTTTCACAACTTAACATTTAAATTTTTTATCCATTTTGAGTTTGTTTTTGTGTATGGTATAAGTTGGTGGTCTAGTTTCATTCTTCTATGTACCTGTCCAATTTTCCCAGCACTATTTACTGAAGAGACTGTCTTTGCTCCATTGTATGTTCTTGCCTCTTTTATCAATATTCATTGACCATAAAGGCATGGATTTACTTGTGGGCTCGCTGTACTGTTCTGTTGATCTATATGCCTGTTCTTACACCCGTACCAGGGTGTTTTGATTACTATTGCCTTGTAGAATAGTTGGTAGAGCAGTTATTGTGATACCTCCAACTTTGTTCTTCTTTAAGATTACTGAGGCATTTGGTGTCTTTTGGTAGTCCATATGAATTTTTGGAATATTTGTTCTAGATCTGTGAAATATGCCATTGGAATTGAATAAGAATTGTGTTTAATTAATAGATTGCTGTGGGTAGTATGAACATTTTAATGATGTTAATTCTTCCTATTCATGAGCATGGTGTATGCTTCTGCTTATTTGTATCTTCCTCAATTTCTTTCTCCAGTATCATATATATAATTTTTCAAGTACAGGTATTTACCTCCTTGGTTAAATTTATTCCTAGACTAGGTGTCTTTTTTTTTCTCCCTGCAATAGTAAATGGGGTTGTTTTCTTCATTTCTCTTTCTGATAGTTCATTATTGATGTATAAAAATGCCACCTATTGCTGAATATTAATTTTGTATCCTTCTTCTTTACCAGGTAAATTCATTTATCAGTTATGGTAGATTTTTTGGTGGAGTCTTTAGGGTTTTCTATGTACAGTATCATGTTATATGTGAATAACAACAGCTTTACTTCCTCTTTTCCAATTTGGATGCTTTTTATTTCCTCTTCTTGTCTGATCACTGTTAAATAGGAGTGGTAAAAGTGGGCACCCCTGTCTTGTTCCTGATCTTAGGGGAAACACTTTTAGTTTGTGCCCATTGAGTATGATGTTGGTGGTATGTTCGTCATATATGACCTTTATTATATTGAGGTATGTTCCCTCTATTCCCACTTTGCTGAGAGTTTTTATCATAAATGGGTGCTGAATTTTATTGAATGCTTTTTCTACATCTGTTGATATGATCATGTTTTTATCCTTAATTTTGTTTATGTGCTGTATCATTTATTGATTTGTCAATATTGTACTAAACTTGCATCCCTGGAATAATTCCCACTTGACCATGGTTTATGATCTATTTAATGCATTCCTGGATTTGGTTTGCTAATATTTTGTTGAGGATTTCAGCATCTATGTTCATCAGGGATATTGGCCTATAATTTTCTTTCTTTGTCTGGTTTTGGAATTAGGACAATGCTGGCCTTGTAAAATGAGCTTGGAAGTTCTCCTTCCTCTTGGATATTTTTGGAATAGTTTGAGAAGGATAGGTGTTTTTATTTGAATGTGGAGTAAAATTCGCCTGTGAAGTTATCCAATCCAGGACTTTTCTTTGCTGCAAGTTTCTGATTACGACATTGATTTCATTAGTTGTAATCAGTCTATTCCCATTTTCTTGTTTTTTCTGATTCAGTTTGCAAGATTGAATGTTTCTAGGAATTTATCTGTAATGCCCAGGTTTTCCAATTGTTAGCATATAGTTGTTCATAGTATTTTCTTACATTCCTTGGTATTTCTGTGGTGTCAGTTGTTACTTCTTCTCTTTCATTTCTGATTTAAAAAAAAAAAAATTATTTATTTTTAGAGAGAAGAAGGGAAGGAGAAAGAAAGGGAGAGAAACTTCAGTATGTGGTTGCCCCTCAACATGCCCCCTACTGGGGACCTGGCCGGCAACCCAGGCATGTGCTCTGACTGTGATTGAACCAGCGACCTTTCAGTTAGCAGATCAGCACTCAGTCCACTGAGCCACACCAGCCAGGGCTCATTTCTGATTTTATTTGTTATTTCTCCTCTTTCATTTCTGATTTTATTTATAATATTTGGGTCCTCTCTCTTTTTTTCTTGATGAGTCTGGTTAAAAGTTTGTCAATCTTGCTTATCTTTTCGAAGAACCAACTCTTGGTTCATTGATCTTTTATATATATGTATTTTTAGTCTATATATCTTTTTTTTCCCTCTCTAATCTATTATTTCCTTCCTTCTACTTATTGTGGGCTTTGTTTATTTAGTTCTTTTTCTAATTCTTTTAGGTGTAGGGTTAGGTGGTTTATTTGAGATTTATTTTACTTTTTGAGGTAGGCCTGTAATGCCGTGAATTTTCCTTTCAGGGCAGCTTTTACTTTGTCCCATAGATTTTGGGTTGCTGTGTGTTCATTTTCATCCATTTCCAGGTAGCTTTTGATTTCTTTTTTGACCTCATTGTTAACCCATCGATTCATTTTTTTTTTAAAATTTACTGTGATAGTGAATGTCACCTTTGATTTATTTCCTAATTTTTTCCTGGAAAATTTTATACCAAATCTCTCCCTTTCAAATTATGGCCTTTTATTATTCAAAAAAAAAAAAAAAAAACAACTCAGAGCATTCTTGATTATCTGACTTGTAAAATTTTTTCAACTTCAGTAGTTCATGAAAATCAGAAATAATATTTAAGATCCTACATATAATGAAGGTTTTATTTGCTTATTTGCTTAATTCAGTGACTTTTAACCAGAATTGTGCAATGGACTCACCTGTTGAGCTTTAGGAAAAAGTACACAAGCTCTTGCTTCAACTATAGCCTATTAAAATAAGTATTTCCCAGGTTGGACTCATGGTGTCCATGGCTTTAAAAGCTTCATTGCTTATTTTGATGCACACCCCTTGCTATCTAAATAGCATTTGTGCTTCTCTTCTTCCCATACATTCTTATGACACATATTATTTAGAGCAGTGGCTATGTATAATATTAAATATCAGTGTTTTTAGTCTAAAAAAATGACTCCTAACATCTATTCAGTTTCTTATGTGTAAAGTAAGGGGATTTTGTGGGAGTGATCTTTGCTCTGAGTGTGAATCTATGAGAATAGTTTTATTTTTGGCCTTAAATTCATAGCATATAGTGATAATCAATTTTGGCAGTAGCTCCTTACCCATAGAAATGATTTTTTTCCCAGATGAGTAGTAAATGGCCTTTGTACTAAAGTACCCATGTATTTTTTTTAAATGTTTAAAACAAATTTTAAATTTATTTTTAAAGAGAGGGAGAGAAAGGGAGAGAAATATCGATGTGCGAGAGAGACATTGATCAGTTGCCTCTTGCACACCCCCGCAACTGGGAACCTGGCCCAAAACCCAGGCATGTGCCTTGACTGGGAATCAAATTGGTGACCTTTTGGTTCACAGGCTGACACTAATCCGCTGAGCTACACCAGCGAGGGCACCCGTGTATTTTCATACATAAAGGTTAATTAGTTAAAAAAAAAGACTATGAGCTTTAATGTTTCAAAATTTGTCACATTATTTATAGCAATTGGAGTTCAGTTTTAAGACATTAAATTTTTTTGTTTATCAGAGCATCATTCGTTGTGATGAAGATGAAGCTCATGTTGCATCAGTATATTGCACTGTATGTGCAACTCACTTGTGCTCAGAGTGTTCCCAAGTTACTCATTCTACAAAGACATTAGCAAAGCACAGGCGAGTGCCTCTTGCTGATAAACCTCATGAGAAAACCATGTGCTCTCAGCATCAGGTGCATGCCATTGAGTTTGTTTGTTTGGAAGAAGGCTGTCAAACTAGTCCACTTATGTGCTGTGTCTGCAAAGAATATGGAAAACACCAAGGTCACAAGGTATGAACATAATTAAACTGCATGACTACCTGGTTTGCTAGCCCATCTTTTGTTTCCACCGACTTGGTTATATATGCTAAAAGTAGGGATTGAAGAAGAGTTAAATGATGAATGAATTGAGCTTGGTAGACTGAAAAGAAACGAGAGATTTAATTTCTGAATAACTAAAAATTTCAGCAGAGAGGCCTCATGATTCTTTCTTTAATGAAAAATAGCCTTCCAGCAAGAAACAGAAGTTCTCTTCTTTGACTGCAAGTTTTCATAATGCCCTGGGTGTTTTAATAATATTTATGTCTATTTATAAACTACTGCTTGTTATAAAATTTTAGAGAGACTCAGGTTCTTGTTTAGTGATAAATGGATTTGTTAATTTTAAACCATTTCTTTGCGGGATGGATAGTTATTGGGTGAGAGCAAATTAGTGTTTTTTATGCTGTGCGTTTTGTAAATATGTTATAAAAGCCACTTGCAGCTGATGCTTTTTTTTATTAATAGGAGTGACTTAAGTAGTTTTTTTTAATATCATTAGTCAAATAATATGAGTTCCTTTCTATAATTATGTTGCATTTTATAGCATTCAGTATTGGAACCAGAAGCTAACCAGATCCGAGCATCAATTTTAGATATGGCTCACTGCATACGGACCTTCACTGAGGAAATCTCAGATTATTCCAGAAAATTAGTTGGAATTGTTCAGCACATTGAAGGAGGAGAACAAATAATAGAAGATGGAATTGGAATGGCCCACACAGAACATGTATGGATTTTTAAATTATTTCTTTACCTTTTTACCCTTTTTCCTTTCTACCTTCACTTTCTAGTATTTCTTGAGCATTTATACTGCGCTAATCACTGGAAATAATTTTTATACAAAGCCTTTGTCTTCATGGAGCTTATAATCTGTCATGGAGAGACAGGTTCAAGTATGGTGACTTTATTTTGTCGGGGAAGTAAAGGATGCTTTGACAGTGCTTAAGAGGGGCAATAATTTAGGTACATCAGGGAAAACTTCCCAGACGTGGTATCTAAACTGAGATTTGAAGGGATTTAGCTTGGGAGAAGTGTGGGATAGGGAGAGGGAAGCATATGTTAAAATGACTGAAAGTGTGAATTGGACATATTGTAGAAACTTAACTGAGTTCACTATGGTTGAAGCTTTGAGTATTAGTTAGGGCGTGGCAAGAAAAGAGGTTGGAGAATAAGGGCCAGTCATGTAGGATCTTATTAGCTGTTTTAAAGAGTTTGTACTTGATCTTGTGATGAGCCACTGAAGAATTGGCTTAGGAATAACATCATCAGGTTTTCATTAAGAGAGTTTGCTCTTCAATGTAGAAAATGTATTGGACTAGCAGCAAGATTGGAAGCAAGAATACCTATTAGCAGTTGCTGAAATTATCAAGTTGAGAAATATATATGGCTGATATTCTACCACCAGAGTAGTGAGACTGGAGAGAAGTAGATGGATTTGAGATTTTGAAGAAGTAGAATAAGTGGGTCTTGAAGATTGATTAATAATATTAATTGGATAGCTACCTTGGAGGGTCAGGCACAATGCCTTGATTTCTATCTTGCCCAACCTGGTGGATGGTGATATGCACTAATGGGTGAGGAGGAGGAGTTTTGGGAGGGGATAATGGGACCAAGGTGATACATTTAATTTGGATGTGGCACTTATTATTTCCGTGAGGTAATCAAGGGGAAATAACCTCCAGTGAATTGAAGAGTGAGCATGTCTCATTTTTAAGTTTGGCTGTGAAGAGAAGGAAGGAACTAAGGTGGTAGTTGTAGTTACTTTTAAAAATTGAATTGTAGAGAAAGGAATCTTTTCAGATGGAAATACAAAATACCGGGACAGAAAAATTATAATGTTTTATTTGGTATTCAAAAAAATTTAAAGCTAAATCATTGGTGAATGATGCTAGGACTGCTCTGTCAAATATAGTAGCCATATGGTTATTTAAGTTAAAATTATTTAAAAATTAAATGAAATACAAAATTTAAAATTTAAATTTCCAGTTTCACTAGCTGTATTTTAAGTACATGTAGCTAGTGGCTACCATGTTGGACAGCACAGATATAGAACATGTCCGTTATCACAGAAAGTTCTATTGGACATTTTTGTGCTAGAGTGGAAATATTTTATTCATTCTTTCAGCAAATATTTACTGAACACATACTAAGTGCTAGACACTGTTCTAGCTGAGGAGATACCACTGTGCAAATCAAAAAGTCTTTTGCAGGGTGTACATTCTAATATGGGGAGAGAGACAATAAATAAGTAAAATACTTATGGCAGAAGTATGTTAGGTGCTTTGGTGAAAAACAAGGGAAAGGGGGAGTGCACTTTTATATGTTGTATCCACGGAAACATTCCCTGAGAAGGTGACATTAAGCAAAGACCTGCAGGAGATGAAACAGGGAGCCATGCAAATATCTGGGGGAAATGCATTCCGAGCAGAGAGAACAGCGAGTGGAAAGGGCCCTGAAGCTGGAATGTCTGTGGCGTGCCTAAGAAACTGTGAGGAGGCTAAGTGTAGCTGGAATAGAATTATCGAGGGGGAGCTTAACAGGAGTTTAGGTCAGAAAGGGCCTTATAGTTACTTGCTCTTCTTTCTGCCACAAATGGTCTTCCTGAAGATGTTCATGTGGTTCCCTCCTTACCTCCTTCAGGACCTTGCTCAGAGGTCCTTTTCTCAGGGAATCTGTCTTTGAACACTGCATATAAAGGAACTCTGAGTGGAATGAAGGGTTTTGAGCAAAAGAATAATTACCTTTCTGACTTGCCATTTTAGAAGGATCATTCTGGCTGCTAGGTGGAAAATACATCATAGGGCTCAGGGTTACATCTAGTGAGAACAATTAGAAGACTATTAAAATAATCAGGTGAAGAATGATAATGGCTTGGGTCAGGCTGATAGAGGAGGAAATAATGAGGCACGATTAGATTCTGTATATATACTGAAGTCCACACAATTTGCTGAGGGACTAGTTGTGGGATAGGAAAGAAGTGTTAAAGATGACTCCAATTTTTTTGTCTTGAACAACCTGGTGGAGTTGTGACTAGGTTTCGGGTGGGAGATAATGGAGATTAGGTACTTCATTTTGCTTGAGATGTCATTTAAACAGCTGGATATCCAAAGGCTGTGGTCTAGGGGAAAGAGCTCATGTGGGGATACAAATTTTAGAATTTTTAAGGATGTAGATGGTATTTGAATTTTATTTATTTTCCATATACAATCTTTGTTATGGTTACAGTTGTTTGAAACTAACTTTTATTTTCTTAGGTACCAGGTACTGCGGAGAATGCCCGGTCATGTGTTAGAGCTTATTTTTCTGATCTACATGAAACTCTGTGTCGTCAAGAAGAAATGGCTCTAAGTGTTGTTGATGCTCATGTTCGAGAAAAATTGATTTGGCTCAGGCAACAACAAGAAGATATGACTATTTTGTTGTCCCAGGTTTCCACAGCTTGTCTCCATTGTGAAAAGACTCTGCAGCAGGTAGGGATTTAAACATGGGAAGGACATAGTTTAAGAAGGAGGATTTATAAGATTAATAGATAATTACCAGAGATACTCATCAGTCTATTTTATTACTTTAATAAATATTTTTATGTTTTTTGGGAAAGCCCCCCAAAACTGGAATGTATTTATAAAAATTTGTGTATTTATTCTTACATGTTTAAACTTTAGTTATCTTCAAAGTACTCTCCATTTGATGCAATGCACCTATTAAGATGTTTTTTCCACTGCTCAAAACAGTTTTTGAACTCATTGATTTTGATACCTCTTAGTGCTTCTTCTGCCTTTTTTTTTGTTTCATCTCTTCCACAGCGGCAAAATGTTTCCCTTTGAGGACCTTTTTCATCGGGGAAGCAAAAACAATTCACTTGGAGCAAGATTGGGTGAATAGCAAGGGTGGGGCCCGGGGGTCATACTGTTTTTGGTCAAAAACTGACCATTCAGTGTGGTGTGGGCAGATGCACTCATAAATCACCCATCATGAAATGGGCAAACATGCTGTAAGAGTCTAGACTGTATCAAAAGCCTTTTGTTACCTAGTTTGCAAACAATGTATTTTTAAAATAAATTATATTTTAGGTTTTCTAACAAAAATGTCAGTCTTATTCATTTCTATTTTGGATTTTCATAGGGCATTATAAGGCTAATTATTGCCCTAAGAATTCCTGATAAGCTGCAGTCTACCTTATCTTTACTGATTGCTAATACTTTTGTTGATTTCAAATTATCGCAGAGCTAAACCTTTTATCATTGTGGAGTTTTTTCTCTTAAATATCTGATCAATGTGGCTAGACTGTAACCACATCAGTCTTGAGCTGTTGTTTAGTCCTAATCATGCTGAATTGTAACAATTGATGTGTATGTCATTTATTAAGTTGTCTTTGAGCTTCAGTTCTATTTATCTTCTTCTTTGTGATGCTGGCACTGGAACTCTATGAACTACTTATCTCCTTTGCCAACTGGTTCCATGTTAGTTTAGCCTCTACCAATAGGTGCACGAGAGAGACTGGAAGGTGGAAATGGTTTCCTGTAGGTTCCCATTTGCTTGTGGTCCCTGTGAATACCATTCCTCATATGAGGAGACTGCTTTCCTCAGAGATCTGAGTTTGAGCTCTGTGGGGCCCTTTCTGTAAGTTTCTAGCATCTTTTCTTTATTCCTCCAGCCCTGGGGGTGGGAGCTGTTTCCATGATACCTCAGAGTTATTTTTTTCCTTCCAGTTACCTAATTAATAACTACACCTAGTTAGCAGTTCTTCATATTAAGTTCTTTCTGTTCACATAACTGGTATGGTTTTTGTCTCTTGATTTGAACCTGAATGATACAGGTTCAAATCACACTTATTTGCCCTAGATATTGATGGGATGCCTCTTGTTTACCTTTGTATTTCAAAATTCTTTGTATCTGAAGTGAATACATACTTGTTCAGAGGGGTAATCCAGGCACACAGCAAAATCAAAATGGATCATGTTCAAAATCATATTTTCTTAAAATTTTCAAAGTATTTTTTATCTACTTTATTAAAAAGTATGTTCATAGTTACTGAAATATTTAGAAGTTTTTAGAATTTCTAAAGCATAGTTTCAAAGTGGCTGGTAATTGTTAATGATGTGGTATTATCTCACTGTGCTAGTGCTAATGAAATTAGAGACTTTTATTCATTCTTCATAAAGACCTGTAAATTTTGTTCTGATTTTTGGCCACAGTAACCTAAATCCTATCAATATACTTAAAAATTCCTGCCACAGAGATAATTGAACAGAAATTGAATTGACCAGATGAACAGAACATCACATGTTTATTATTAATTTTGAGAACAAAACTTAGTTATCTTTCCCCTCTAAGTTCAAGACTTGATGCTGAATGGTGAGGATGTATCTATTCATTTAGCAAATACTTATTAAGTGTCTACTATATGCCATGTACATTCTATATACATGGGCTATATCAATAAACAAAACAAGCAAGAACCATGCTCTTGTGCAATTAGAATTCTAGCAAAAAGACAGACAATAAACCATAACCATATCTAAATGAGTAAATTATATAATATATGATAAAGTGATAAGAGCTAAGGGGAAAAAAAAAGTGTAGAGGTACAGCAGATTGCATTATCAAATAGCCAGGTGAAACATTTTTGAGGGAAGATGAGATTTAAGCAAAGACTCAAAGGTGACAGAATTAGTTAAAGCCCTAGAGGGAGGAAGAATATTCCAGCTGAGGAAATGGTTAGAGCAAAAACTGTGGGGCAGCATGCCTGGTGTGTTTGAGGAACAGTAAAAAGAGGTTACTATGGCTGGAATAGAGTAAGCAAAAGGGGGAAATGATAGAACCTGAAATCAGAGGTGATAGGAATTATATGTAAAGAAGGCCTCGGGCTATTGGACAGACTTAAGCTTTTAGTGATTGAAATAAGGAAAACATGGGTTCTTGAGCACAGAAGTGATGAGATCTTACTTGTTAAAAGGATCACTGTGGCTGATATATAAAAAATAGATTGAAGGAGGGCAAAGATAGAAGGGAGTTCAGCGGTTAGGAGGCTGTTGTGGAATTCCAAAGTGAGAGAGAATAGTGACTTGGTTAGTGGCCGTTAGAAATGCCCAGTTTCAAGATACCTAGTAGGATTTGTTGCAAGGTTGTATGTGGGGTATTAGGGAGGAGGAGGCAAGAATGACTTCAGGGTTTTTGTTCTGAGCAACTGGGATAATGGAATTTCTGTCAACTAATATGAATATGCAACAATGAGCAAAAAACCAACATCACGGCTCTCATGGAGCTTACATATTGTTGGGAGATCTCTGTCTAATGAAGAACATACTGGCACACGTACAGAATATCCGGAGTAACATTTGAGGAACTAGAGAGTATTTGACTTTGAGGAGAGGGCCTGGGGATCTAGAGTGAGAGGGAGGCTTTTTGCAATGTGACTTAACAGTCCTTTTGTCTTTTCTTTTCCAAACCAATGAATATATATCTTAAATTATTTTACAGTTGTTTTTTTATGGAAGTACAATGTACATACAGAAATGTGTTTTGTTAGTGTTCAGTGGGCTGAATTTTCAGTTAGGACAATACTGTGTGACCAGCATTCAGATCCAGTTACAGAACACACCAGCACTCCAGAAACCCCTCAGGCTTCTAGTAACGACCTGCCCTTTCCCTGAGGATAGACTGCTATCCCGACTTCTAATGTATTCTTTATTTTTGCCTGTTTTGGTAATTAATATAAATGGAACATACAGTATGAACTCCATATGTCATTTCTTCTTATACTCTACATTATATTTGTGAAATTCATATTATCACATGTAATTGTGGCTCATTCTCATAGCAGTATATAGTGTTACATTTGTGAATATACTACAATTTATTCTTCTGTTGATAGGTTCTTAAATTATTTATTAATGTCTTTTATTAATTTATTAAAGAATTATTTTTAACCCACTTAAATTTATGTTTTAGTTAACTTTGAATACTGGAATGTTAATGAGATGACATCTCTTTTTTCCTTATTTTTTTAACTGTTTATAAGAAATACCGTCTTCTCTTTCCTAGGATGATTGTCGAGTTGTCTTGGCAAAACAAGAAATTACAAGGCTGCTAGAAACATTGCAAAAACAACAGCAGCAGTTTACAGAGGTTGCAGATCATATTCAATTGGATGCCAGCATCCCTGTCACTTTTACAAAGGTAATGTACTGTACTTCATTTCAGGTTTCTTTCCTGGCTAATCATAATTGTTTACATTCCATGATTATCAACTTGAAAAGACAACTAATCGTAGGATTTAAAAAAATGTATTAGTGTAGAATAGGGGTATAAGAAATCTCCCGGTATAAGAAATCTCCCGGTACCCATCAGTCACTTTAACAATTAAAACTTTTAAATTTCATCCCTTCTTTCCCTACTCCCTTTCCTTTCTGCAGTCTCTCAGGTAATTTTGAAATAAATCCCAACATATTTCATCCCAGCAGCATATCATTTTATCTATGAAGTGTTTTCATGTATATTTCTAAAAGGTTAAGAACTTTTTTTAAAAAGAAAATACTGAGGGGGGAGGGAGCAAGGGAAAGTGGTGGAGGGAAGGCAGAGACAAATGTATTTAGAAAAATAAATAAATTAATTATAAAAAAATAAAAACAAAAACAAAATACTAAAAAAATTTAATAACAAATCTCTAATACTGTCCATTATCCAATTAGTATTCAGATTTCCCAGATTGTCAAAAAAATTTTTTTAAGTTCCTTTTATTTTTGAGATAAAGTCCAAACAAGGCCAATACTCTTTTGATATATTTTAATCTCTTTTAAAGTAGATTCCCCTAATTTAAAAAGGTTCATGTGTTCCATTTTACTTCCTATTTTTAGAGACTTAAAAGAAAATTAATGTTGTTTTATAATTGTGTGAAATATTTACGTGGTCCAGAGTCAAATCTACAAAGCAAGGTTCATTCAGAGCAGTCTAGCTTCTATCCCTGAACCTGTACCCTTTTCCTCCCTTCCCCATAGAAAACCATTAAGAATTTTTTCTTAAATTTATTCATCATTTAAAAATATAAAGAGAACTATTTTTACATATTTATCTGCACACTCCTTGCATTTAAAGGTAGAATACCTTACATATTTCTCCACCTTTTCCTTTTCACTTAAGTGTATATCCTGGAGAGTATTCCCTAGCAGTAGACAGTAACATTTCTCTTCCTTTTTACAGCTGCAAGGTATACTATTGTGAGGATGTACCACATTTTTTTTTTTTATGGTAAAAAACACATAATATAAAATTTACCATCTTAACCATTTTTAAGTGTACAGTTTGGTATTGTTAAGTGAATTCACATTGTGTGAAACAAATCTCCAGATTTTTTTCATTTTGCAAAGCTGAAACTCTATGCCTTATAAACAATAACTCCCTTTGCCCCTACCTGACCAGCTCCTGGTAACTTTGTGTTTCTTTGAACTTGACTACTCTAAATGCTTCATGTAAGTGGAATCATACAGTATTTATCTTTTTGTGACTGGCTTATTTCATTTAGCACAATGTCCTCAAAGTTTATGTCATAGAATGTGACAGAATTGTTTACATATACCACATTTTGTTCATCCAGTCATTCATTGAAGGGCATTAGGGTTACTTACACCTCTTGGCTGTTGTGAATAGAATGTTGTGAATGCTGTGAACATAGGTGTGCAAATATCTCTTTGAGATCTTGCATTCAGTTCTTTTGGATGTATATCCAGGAGATTACTGGACAATATTGTAGTTCAATTTTTAATTTTCTGAGAAAATGTCATACTGTTTTCTATAGTAGTTGCACCATATTATAATTCCACCAGCAATATACAGGGTTCTAATTCTCTACATTTTTACCAACACTTGTTATTTTTTGGTTTTGGGTTTGGGGTTTTGTTTTGATAGTAGCAATCCCAATGGGTATGAAGTAGTATTTCCTGGTGATTTTGGTCTGTATTCTCTGATGTCTAGTGATATTGAGCATGTTTTCATATGATTTTTGGCCATCTGATATATTCTTTGGAGAGATTTTGTGTAAGTCTTTTGCCTGTTTTTTAACCAAGTAATTTGATTTTTTTGTTGTTGAGTTATAGAAGTTCTCTTTGTATTGTGGAGATGAATTCATTATCAGGATATATGATTTGCAAATATTTTCTCCCACTACCTAGGTTGCTTCTTCACTCTGCTGACTGTTTGATTCATAAAACTTTTTAAGATCAATACAGTCCCATTTGTCTGATTTTGCTTTTGCTGACTATACTTTTGGTGTCGTATTGCAGAAATCATTGCCAGATTCAATATCATTAAGCTTTTCCCCTTTGTTTTCTTTTATTTAATAGTTTTAAGAGTTAATAGTTTTAGGTCTCATGTGTAGGGCTTTAATCTATATATTTATAATCCAAGTACTATTAATAATTATTATATCTTCTTTGTAAATTTACCCTTTTCTTATTATATAATGACATTCTTTCTCTTATAATGGTTCCTGACTTAAAGTCTTATTTTGTCTGATAGAATAGCCACCCCTGCTCTTTTGGGTGTGATTTGCATGGACAACATATTGTTGGATCTTGTTTTCTTCAGTCCATTTAGTTAACTATATCTTTTAATTGGGGCATTAAATCCATTAATATTTAATTATTGTTAAGTAAAGACTCACTTATTGTCATTTTGTTGTTTTCTGTTGGTTGTAGTTTTTTGTCTCCCCTTTCCTCTTTTGCCTTCTTTTGTATTTTATTGTTTTGTAGTGACATGGTCTGATTCCCTTTTCATTCCTTTTTTGTGTGTGTATTCTATGGATTTCTTGTGTTTACCATTATATTTACATAAAACATCTTGGTTCTAACATTCTATTTTAAATGACTATACTTTAATTTCAGTTGCGTACAAAATCCCTGTTTCACCGCCACACGTTGTTATTAATGTCACAAATTGCATCCTTACATATTTTATGCCTATTAAGAGTCTTACAGTTTATAATTTTTTCTCTTTTTATTTTTCAATTACAGCTTACATTTGATGTTTTTATATTAGTTTCAGGTGTATATTTTTGTTATTCTAATTCTATAAAAATTTATGCACCAAAATTACAATAATACAGGTTTGCTGTATGTTCACATACTTACATTTACCATTTTATTACTTCATATGTATTTGTGTTCCTAAATACTGTCCTTTTATTTCAACTTGAAAGACCCCTTTAGCATTTCTTTTAAAGATCTAGTAGTTAGTGCTCCCTCAGGTTTTGTTTTTATGAGAAAGTCATTTTTTTAATTTAGCTTTTTTAATTTATTGATTTTAGAGAGAGAGAGGAAGGGGTGAGAGAGAAAATGTAAGGAAAGAGGAAAAGGGAGGGGAGGGGAGGGGAAGGGAGGAACACTGATTTCTTACTCTGTTTATTTTATGCATTCATTTGTTGATTTTTTTATGTGTCATGACTGGGGATCAAACTCACAACCTTGGCATATTGGGATAACACTAACCAGCTGAGCTACTTGGCCAGGGTTGGGAAAGGACAGTTTTGCCATACATATTATTTCATGGTTGGCAGTTTTTTTTCTTTTTTTAATTATTTTTTTAATGTTTAAATTACAGCTTACATTCAATATTATTCTGTATTAGTTTCGTATGTGCAGCACAGTGGTTAGAAAATTGGATATTTAAGAGAGTAATCCATCCAATGCTTCCAAGTACCCACCCACCCAACACCAGACATATTTATCACATGATCCCTATGCTGTAATCTGCATCTCTGTGATTATTCTGTAACTACTTTTGTACTACTTAATCCCTTCACCTCTTTCACCCAGCCGGCTAACCTCCCTGCTCTCTCACAACTGTCAGTCTGTTCTGACAGTATATTTTTCCCTTTCAGGACATGGAATATATCCTCCCACTCCTTTCTGGCCTGTAAACTTTCTGAGAAATCAGTTGATAATCTAATGGAAGCTCCCTTGCCTGTGATGAGTCACTTTTTTCTTGCTGCTTTTAAGATTCTCTCTTTTTTGACTTTTGGCAGTTTCACTATAATGTGTCTCAGTATGGGTCTATTTGGGTTTATCCTAGTTAGAATGCATTGAGGTAGAATTTTTATGTCCATTTCTCTCTTCAGATTGGGAAGTTTTCAATCATCGTTTTTTTCAGGTAAGCTCTCTCTGCCCCTTTTCTTTATTTTCTTTCTGGGACTCATAATGTACATTTTGATCTCTTTGATCTCATATGTCCCTTAGGGTTTCTTCACTTATTTTTATTTTTTCTCCTCTAACTTGATGATTTCAAATGATTTATCTTCAAGTTGGGTGATTCTCTCTTCTGCCTGATGAAGTATGCTATTGAAAGTCTCTAGTGAACTTTTTCCATGCAGTTATTACATTTTCAGCTCTAGAGTTTTAAGTCTTTCTTGACATTCTCTTTGTTGATATTCTCGTTTTGTCCATTCTTTAATTTTTTTAAAAAATTTTTACTTGTCTATGTTTCTTTTAGCTTATTGAACAGCTCTCTTAAAGGTATTTTAAATTCTTTGGCAATTCATAGATCTGAATATTTTTTCAGGGTCAGTTTTTAGAATTTTATTTTGTTCTTTGGGTCAAGTTTTTCTTTTTTTTTTTTTAATGCCTTGTCATGTTTTGTTGAGATTTGGGCATTTGAATAAACAACCATCTCTCCAAATATTTATGAACTGGCTTAGAGCCTGGGAAGACCTTCACCAGTCAGCCCAGCAAGAGATTCTAGACTTCTCAAGTCTTTTCTAGGGTATATCTTCTCTTGGCTTGTTTCAAACTTCCTAAGGTGCTTGCCCATTCATTTTCTCGGAGGCCAGCAATCCCTTATTCTCCCTGCACAACAGCACTTCCAGTGTGCCATGTCCTTGCTTCTGTTTCCAGTGGCTTTCAAAGTATGCTGTTGGTCGTCCAGAAAGGAGTGCTAAAGTGAGGAGGCAAAATAATGAGTACTGACACTTACCTAGTACTTATCACATGCCAGTAGCTGTTGTAAGGACTTTGGCATGTATTTCAAAAAATAATCCTTGCAAAATTTGTACAAGTTTGGTACTATTTTAATCCTTCATTGATAGATGAGGAAAGTGAGGCAGAGAGGTCATGTAGCTAGCATAGATACAAGTATGTTCCTTGCGAGTATGTTCATTGCTCATTCTTTGTAATGTAAAAATTATGGAGATGATCTAATATCTCTCATTTGGGGATAGGTTAATTGTGGTTCATGGAATATAATGAAGCAGTTGAAAGAAAAAAGTAGGTCTTCATGTTTTGAAGTGAAAGGATTCCGTAATATACTGTTGAGTATCAAAGTTAGTTGCAGTTATATGGTTTTTTAAAATTTAGCTTTTTAAAAAGTATATTTGTTTTGTTTGTGTATATCAACCAATATACACATATTGCATAGGAAAGTGCCTAGAAGGATATACATGAAATTGTTAACCGGGTGTTTCTGGGAAGTGAGCAACAATTTTCATTTTTAATTAATATATTTAGCACAATATAAAAAAACCTTATTTAAAGAAGATTCAATTGAGCTAAAAAAATTTCCAGAAAGCAAGTGGATATATATTTTTTATTTATACAAAAACAAAGTAGTCAGTTTTATTAAGGGATTTAGCAATAAGGAATGATTCTTCTCTTCTGAGATCAAATACCAGATATTTTAGGGAATACAACTCAGATTTCTCAGATTTCAGTGGGTTTGAGAATGAGTAGGAGGAATAATTAACAATGACATTTTAGAAATAAAACTATAAATCTTAGTGCTTTCTAATGCCATATCAAAATTAAAAGATTTAATTTTTTTTTAAATTATAGGACAATAGAGTTCACATTGGACCAAAAATGGAAATTCGAGTTGTTACATTAGGATTAGATGGCGCTGGAAAAACTACTATTTTGTTTAAGTTAAAACAGGATGAGTTTATGCAGCCTATTCCAACAATTGGTAAGTGTAATTGTTTTTTACCTTAATGGATGTTTTGTTAACAAACCCTAGCTTACAGCTGAGCTTTTGGGATCTTATTTTGTGCTAGTTTGGCATGGAGATGGGCATTTTTCTGCCTCTATGACTTCAACATTTCAAAGGAAAAAAGCAGGATTCAGTGGCTTTGGGGTTGAAATGCGGATGGCAGGATACTAAGAAGGAACAGAGTATCAGTGGGGCAGTTGGAAGGAGTGAAGGATTGGTGACCCTGGCTGAGGGTCGGTAAGGGGAGGTAGTGGTACAGAGTTGGCAGGTGCGTGGGTTTCAAGGGCCTCAGGACCCTGGTGAAGCTTTAGAGGGCTAAGAACTGGTAAAGGTATACCTTCTGCATGAAGGGTTATTAGGAGTGGAGTTAATAGGCACCAGGAGATATTACTCTATGAAGATAATTTGTAAGTCACAATGACAAACAGGGGGTTGCCTTGTGTTTGGTGTGTCACTCACTGTCATAGGTTCAGTATTAAAGTAACTATTTTTTAAAACAGGTTTTAATGTGGAAACTGTAGAATATAAAAACCTGAAGTTCACTATTTGGGATGTAGGTGGAAAACACAAATTAAGACCATTGTGGAAACATTATTACCTCAATACCCAAGGTAAGAAAGGAAGAAAATGACATCTTAATTGTTCAGATTTTTAGAATGCCAGTTTTTGATATATTCATTTAATTAGTAAAGCTGATAATTTAAGCCTTGATTAAATACTGATTATACCTTTAAACATTGGTGGTCAGCCCCATGTTAAAAAAAATGAAGGGGGAAAGACTGGGATATGTACTTCTGTGTATTTCATGAAAAACTATAATTATAGCATAAAAACAATAGTTAGATTTGTGGGCAGTTATGAGTACTTACCTCTTGCTGCTCTTAACAGATATAGTATATTATTAGCGTCATGAGTATGATTGCTGGAAGTATAGTGGACTATAGCAGAATTTGTGGTAGATAGTTCTGCTGCTCAATTCAGCATTTGTCCCATTGTAATATCTTAATAGCTCCATTTCCATTCACAGTTGTTAACTGCAGAAAAGCCTACAGTGGATTTCTTTTGACCAAACTGTGTTGCACCAAATGTATTCCACCTAGCATTTACTCACATTTGTGCCCTGTCCTATGCTTTTGCTTCCGGTACCCCAACATGAAGCTTCTGTTTATGCCACCTGTTCCACATGGCATCCTACTTTCCACCTAGAAGAGAGACTAGATAATTATTTTTACTTTGGGAGTTTTGATAATGAGTTTAGTATGAAACTGTGATTTATAGGAAAAAAATGGAATTTAGACCATGAGGAATCGTTAAAAGTCTGGGGATATTCAGCTACCATAAAGAAACTGGAAAGATTCCAAAAAAGTATCCATTTAATAGATATTTATGTAGCTTTACTATGTATTTTGAGTACAATCTGTGTGGAAAGTGCTGTGCTACTCACCTAGAAAGACTACTTTGGAAAGATAAAAGTGTGATTTATTTAGTTTTTAAAGAACTATCTTTTGGTAAAAGAAGTAGTGATCAAAAAAGAGGTAGCATCAATAGGTAGATCATGACGAGTATATTTTCATTCATTAAGAGAAAATATTGATATATACAGCAATTCGTGTTGGATAAAGCATGTATAAATCTTGTTATAGATGGGGAAATGAAAGCTGAAAAGTTACATGACATATTTGTGATCATACCATTAATTATTGCTCCTCTAATAATAGGCAGCCTTTCTGTAAAAATAGTAATGGTAGACTACTCATAATATAATAATGAGAGCATTAAAATATTTTTTCCATTTACTGAAACTTAATAGGTAACTATTTTTGTTTTGTTGGTAGCTGTTGTATTTGTTGTTGATAGCAGTCATAGAGACAGAGTTAATGAAGCACACAGTGAACTTGCAAAGCTGTTAACAGAAAAAGAACTCCGAGATGCTTTGCTTCTGATTTTTGCTAACAAGCAGGTAAAACATTTTTATTTTAGAATACTTATTTTAGTAGTCTTGTGCACTTCTCATCATAAAGTGGTTGGAAAATTTTCAAAAAAAATAATAGATATTTATGAAGTTTCTGCTATATACTGAGTACAATCTATGTGGAAAGTGCTATGCGTTGTACCTTGGAGTATTGAAAAAGAAATAAGGTAGTTGACGCTCTCTGGAAACTCTAGTGTAGTAAGTAAGTAAACATGTAAGTGAATACATATGAGATTCTAATACAAAGAGAAATGGTAACTTTAATAACATTAACAAATTATTATGGCAAATGAGAGAGAGAGTAGTTCTAAAGGTGACATCTTGTAAAGTTTGTAAAAAAGTAGGATTTGGGTTGAAATTATGGTAAGCTGAAATTATGGATGAGATTTTGAGTCAATATATGAAGGAAGGAACATTGTAGACAGAGAAAATAAAAGTATATTTAGGGAGTATGAAGTGGCCCTGTAAGTGAGGAGCAGGTAGAGGATGAAGAAAATCTAGAATAACTGGTTTGGCCACTGGTTGTGAAGGCCTGACTGTCCCAGACTGAGAAATTTAAGTTTTCTTCTATGAGCAAAGGAAAATCATCAAAAGGTTTCTGGACTAGTTGGTTATAAGATCACATCAGTGTTTTAAGATTGCAATCATGGGGGTAGGATGTAGAATTAATCAGGGGCAAGGGATTAGAGACAGGAAGATGCAGTAAATTGCTGCACTAATTCAACTGTGAGAGGTAACAAGATCACTATTTAGAGGAATAGATAGGTGGAAGCAGATTCAAGACATTTTATAATGGTAGAACTATTATAATTTGGTGACCGAATGGGAAGGATGAAGGACAGGAGTAGCAGAAGATTTGTAGATCTTAAGCCTCAGTTTCTAGGAGCTTGAAAATGGTTTAAGTGGATAGAGCCACTTAGATGTCATAAGGGGGAGTAGGGTGAGAAATACAGGATTTCCCCCTTAATTAAAAAAAAGGCCAAAGAAAGCTTATATGCTTTGCTATACTTATGATTAAAGACAAACAAAAGTGAAATACTATTTTCCAACTACCATACTGTGAAATAAATTCTTTGATAATCGTCAGATGCACATACACTGTGATGTGGTTATTGAACTGAGACATTTTCTTGGAGAGCAACGTGGCAATACTTGTCAAAGCTCTTACCATGCAATTCTACCCCTAGTAATGTATCCCAGACAAATACCCTAAGGATATCCTACAGATACTTTTGCAAATGTACAAGCCTGTCCAGAAGGTATCCAGCCATGTACTATGAAAAAGAGACATTTGTTGAAGAAGATAAAAGAAACATTGTATGAAGGACAATGACGCCTCCGTCCCCTTCAAAGTTGGCGCCTTGGAACCTTCCACAGTTCTCTCAGTCGCTACCACATGCCCTGTCATATTTTCCTGAATCTCATAGATGGTCTGAAATTTCTTACCGTTCAAAGGTGATTTTAGTTTTGGGAAAAGCCAGAAGACACAGGGTGCCAAATCTGGGCTGTAGAGGGGCTGAGTCACCTGGGTGAGTTGATGTTTCACCAAAAAACTCTGCACAAGATGTGATGCATGAGCAGATGCATTGTTGTGATGAAACTGCCAGTCACCAGTTGCCCATAGCTGTGGCCTTCTGAATCATCCGAATAGTTTCCATGGAGGAATGTACAAGCTTAATGCAAAATTTGATGCAGATTCATGCTTTACTCAGGCAGCCATTTTGAATGTGACAGCCACACAGTATACCTGCTTACTCAACAGTATCTACCAACCCCACCGACTAGTACAGTGAAGTTGTCATTGTTCACACATATGCATTCCAGTCCATTCTCTTTGGCTGCCAGGTTACATGAATGTCAAGCAAACCATTCTTGTTCTATAAAGAATGGCTGGAATTTTTTTCAGACATACCTTATATGCCTGTAAAATATGTATGTATGTATGTATTTGTAATGGCACATAAGCACACAACTTAATCTAAATATTCAGTATAGGACTGGCAAAAGAAAATTTTGTTGCATCTACACAATGGAATTCAATTCAGTTGTTAAAAATAATGCAGACAATCTGTTTATCCTGATAGTGGAAAGTTATCTATAGTCAACATGTGTGTTAAGTAAAAACCAAATACCTAGAGTATAGTCCTATTTGTGTGTGGAAATTTTCTGGAAAATATGAAGGAGATTATTGCTGATAGTTGCTTCTGGGAAGTAGGGGTGGTCAGAATAGTAGTAGTTTAATAAACTCTTCATTTTATAAACTCTATTTATAAGCTGTTTTAAAATTATATACACATTAATGTTTTTTAAATTGTGTCAGTGATTCAGGCAGTATCTTTCATTCAGACTTCATGGCTTTTGATTTCATTGTTAAGGCTGTTCTTATAAACAATGTATAATATAATACAAAAGCTTTAACTTTTATAGTCTTATTAACTTCAGAATAATTACTGAATCTAGGCTTTTAGATTAGAGTATGGTTAGAATGGTGGCAATAAAATTCTTTGTAAGTGGTAATTAGAAGAATGATAGTATTGATGGACTGATTTTTAAAAAATTATCATGTGTATATATCTTTCAGGATGTTGCTGGAGCCCTTTCAGTAGAAGAAATCACTGAACTTCTCAGTCTTCATAAACTGTGCTGTGGTCGTAGCTGGTATATCCAGGGCTGTGATGCTCGAAGTGGCATGGGACTATATGAAGGGTTGGACTGGCTCTCACGGCAACTTGTGGCTGCTGGAGTATTGGATGTTGCTTGATTATATATGCAACAGTTGTTTCAAGTTTTGTGGTTAAGAGTTATTTTGCACATAATATATTATTAAGAAATTCTACATCTCAAGATATTAATTTAGAATACATATATAAAAGGAATATTGGATTGGGAGAGCAGCACAATATTGCTTTTAAAAATATTATTCTGTAGCAAATTTAAATATCTGAGTAGATTAAATTGGAGTAAAAAGGGTTTCTTGAGTATACATTTTTTTAAATGTACATTTGTTATTTGAGTTTTTCAGATTATATGTGACCCCTATATTGGGAAGGAAAGTTACAGAGAAGGGTTAGTGAAGGCTTGTTCTTACTGCCCACTGAGTGCCTAATGGAACCTCTGTGTGAAGCAAATGAAGCATGACTTTAACTAGACTTTTCACTGAACTTTTGCAGGTTTAGTAGTGAGAATGGCAATGACTTAATGAAAGAGAATCCACAAATTGCATCTTTGGGTAATAGGTTACTTTTATCTTTAGTGTAACAGAATACCTTTAATACTAAGACTATAAGCTATAGAAAATTAATGTTTTATACAGTGTTTTCTTAAAACTTTCTCCTAAAGCATTTTGTATAAAACCCAGTAAGTCAGAATGAAATGTTGCTTAACTAAGCCTGTCAAATTAGTACTAACCTAAAGAAGAATTAATAATAAGAAAACTGTGAAAGTCAGTTATGTTCTAGTTGATCTTCACTTATGAAAGACCCATTTCCGGGGCTGAAGCTGGATGTATTATTTCCTAGGTCACAGCTCTAACCTGTTTTTTCTATTTTTTCAGCTTATTTGAAGTATTACTTAATGTTTAAAAGTAACATGGTATCCTTAGTGAGAATCACTGTACTTAAAAGCTATTAAAACAAGGGTTGGGCTTACATAAAAGAGAAAGATCTAAGTAGAAAACTGCCTTCACCTTAAATCATTTAAACAATGGAGAATAATTTTCCAAAGTATGTGCATTTATCTTGAGAGTAAAACATGATCAAGGCTCTTTGTAACAAGGCCTTAAAAGTTATTTAAGAGAAAAAGCATGTCCAAGGGAGGAAAAGAAAACGTTGAAAAAGTTTACATTTATTAAGCAGTGTTGTAAGTAAAAGTTTAAAAATTTTGTGCTTTAGTGTTTTTCATTTTTAAGGATATTCCCTTATTATGGCAGTACAACTTACTATATTTAAACATAGCTAGATTGGATTTCATGGTTTTTTAAAAAACACTTTTTATATTTTAGGATGAAGTTGAATCATAAATCTTAGTTTAACTACTGTGAGGACATTGATGTCTAATGACAAGATGTGACACGTGGTGGTACTGTTTTGGTTCACTCTCTTCAAATATATTTTTGGTTGTTTAAAAACAACAAAGCTTTTAGAAAACAAAGCATTGAAAAAAAGTCCAGTGTTATGGGCAATGTGTAAATAAGTAAATATAATTGTCCTTTATTTTTCAAGTAAAAGGTCATGCTGTTACAAGTGTAGTTTGTGCATATAAGTAATACTTCTGAATTAAATTATTTAATATTGGACTGATTGCAATAACTGTGAAAAAAAAGTAGGTATTACACACATTTGCCTGTGAGCCTTTGAACTGTTTTCTCTACTAGGTTACTGAAAGAAAAATGTGTAACACTAATATGTAAACTTGCTTTTCTTGTAAATTATTAAATATATTTCACCAATTTTGTTAAACTTTATAATTCACATTCTTAGCATATTACTAAACACAATTTAAAAATTGTGCTTAGACCTGATTATAATGTACATAATAGTGGTGTTTCTGTGTAATTTCTTTTTAAGAAATACTTTTCTTAGGCTGTTACTATTTGTGGTTGTACTATTTCACTAATGATTAGTTAAGATTGTGCTAGTTCCCTCTGGGAAATGTCAGATTTAAGAATGAGAGAGGCATTTTAAGTCCAGCCTATTAGGATTTGATTCCTAGCTTTGAATATCTGTATTAGGCCTACATATTACTGTATGATTTTTGTAAAGCAGGTTTTTCAAGTGTATAAACCCAGGTCTGTAAATCTGGAATGCTTTATAATCACCGGACTACACATATGATCAGTATAGACAGCAATAAAATGTTAAAATCCTTTTATAGAAGTCCTATCATTATTCTAAAAATTCTGTTTCTTGAATCATCTATGTAGTAGTAGTGCTAGTATCCAATTTAAAGTCATGTTTGTTTTGTGGTTAAGAGAAACAAAATAGGGTTGGGACTCACGTGTCAAATTTGAGATGTAGTTTATTAAAGATTTAGAAACAACATATCCTGTGTTTGCAATGTCACATTTAAATGAGCATTACAACAGTAGTGTTTTGAAGAGCTAGAATTTTGCACTCGACCAACTCTATTACTTTTTTAAATTTTAAAATTAACATCGTTTCATTTGAGAACTTAGCATATTTTTTTTAACATTTTATGTATTTATTTTTAGAGAGAGGGGAAGGGAGAGAGAGAGAGAGAAACACTGATCAGCTGCCTTTTGCATGCCCCCAACCCAGGCATGTGCCCTGACAGGGGATGGAACCAGCAACATATTGGTTTGCCGGACGAAGCCAAGCCCAGTGAACCGCACCAGTCAGGGCGAGAGCATAGCCATTTTAAATAAGGGTTTTAGAAAATGGCTTGGAAAACTTAGCTGTGGCCTTTGAACTAAAATTGCCAAAATGAAGACTTTTTATGTAACATTGAGCTACTTCTCAATTTGTAAAGCAGGAACAGGGAAGAAGATAGCTGTACTTTTTTCCTAAATGGATGGATGAAAAGGACTGATAAATGTTTCTTGCTAATAATTTAAAACATGCTTTCAAAAAAGGCATCTGGCAATTTATGTGTTTAGGTCTACTGATTATGTTGAATATGTGACATTGGAATGGAAAAACTCATTAATCAAAAATGATTTTCACTCAAAGCAAAATCATATTTTGAGGGAAATGAGGCATGACCTCCACTTGGTGGCAGTATGACCAAAAATTTAGGTTTAGGCTTTTAGTAATGAATAAATTGCTAGGCAGAGAAGTCAACATTTAAAATTAGGAAGAAAAGGTAAATGACACAGTGAAGAGTCATTTTATGCCCAACTTCAAGTTCTACTTTTTAAATGACAATTTTAACATAGCACAATTTGGTATATTCTTCCATTGCGTAAGTTTGGGGTACAAAACGAATAAAGGAAATAATCTTGCTGGCAATAGAAGGAAAAGTGTAAGCTAAGATTTAAAGTGTAATAATGAAATCCTTAAATGGATATGTTGAACATGTTCCTCCTATTAAGTTTTTGAAGAAACTTTCTAGAAATTAGAAGCAGTAGTTCTTAATAGTTATGAAGTTATCAGGATAAGTAGAGAGAAAATCAATACAAGGTTTTGGATTCATTGTTTTACTGCTCCAATTTCTACTAATTTCTCATTATTAGATACTAAAATTTGTACTCCATATATATTTTTGATATATTTATTAAGAAAATAAATACTATAAACTTGATAGAAAAATTATTTAGCTACATTAGAAAAAAATAGTAAATGAATCTGTCTATAAAACCAAAGACTCAGCTATTCATTGATTCTTATATTTGATAGTTATTAAGGAATTCAACACGTACCAAAGGGACTTGACATTTTTACCGCTACTTAACGACTTAATGATCAAAGTAAAAAACTATATGGCATGGAAAACAAGCCTTGTAAAAAAAAGGGAATAATACTATACTCAGTTCCTTCATGGCTCTAAAGAAACATGAGGGAAGATTAACTGGCATATTTTAAAAAGCTAAGGAAAAAATACATACCATTCTCATTATTTACTATGGTTTTGAGTCTCATGTGAAATTATAAATAAGGAGTGCTATTTTACCTCAGTTTAGTCCATTTCAATTTTTCACCTACAGGAGAAACATTCAAGAAAAGGCAGAGTTTTAAAAATGGCCTTTAATGAAAAATATAAAAATACAATACTGCAATCCTTAAAACATGATTTGTATGTTCAGGAAGTCTTAAGATATTCCCAAATATCACTTGACAGTAATGTTTATGATGCTGACATCCTCATAAGGCTTATCTGTTTTGGGATTGACTTTGACATTGGAGATCCTTTGCACAACTTCCATTCCTTTAGTCACTCGTCCGAATACTGTGTGCTTATTATCAAGCCAAGGCTGTGTTGGAGAACAAATGGAAAAATCTTGGTAAACCAGACTTCTTCATTCACACCCTCTGGGTGAGCAAATTAAAGAGAATTTAAATTTATTCTTTACTTTTACAATAATTTTACGTAGCTGATTTTTAGAGAGATTTCCATGTTTATAAATAAAAATACAAAAGTAGAGCATGGTGTTTAAATATCTGCTACTTTCAGACCAAAGGAAGCTAGAATGTGTTTGCTAAAGGCAAGTTTCTTTGCTTAAAGAATTATGGCTAAGACTGAAAGTTCTCTGCAGGAATCCTACTTGCACAATTAAGAGGCAATTCAGACTAGTTTAAGCAGCATGTGCTTTGACATTAGAGACATGGGCACTCAAATGCTGGCTGTGCTACTTATTTGACCTTTGGCAAGTTAGTCATGCTTGTTTCCTCATCTATTAATTAAAATTGGGTTTAGTGATACTAGACGTATTGTGGCTATCACACCAAACTCTGTGCCTGGCAGATAGTAGTTATAAATATTTTTCCTTCCTTGCTTAGTGCTTAATTACAAAAAATAAAGTGTATAATTTTTGTAATTATGTGGAACTGCATAGTAATAGTGCTAGACATTCTTATACCCTATTCCATCACATCTACAATGCCACTCATCATCAGTTGCATTCTGATTTCAGATATATAAAAATGTGGGGAAAATGTCTTAAAATCAGGAATTTAAATACTCCTTTATATTTTGTCTTTACCCACAGACATGCTTATTGATTTTAGAGAGAGGGAAAGAGAGAGAGGGAGGTAAACAGCAATGTGAAAGAGAAACATCGACTGACTGCCTCTTATACATGCCCCAACCAGGGACCAAACCCATAACCTAGGCATGTGCCCGGACCAGGAATCAAACCCGCGACCTTTGGGTTTGTGGGACAATGCCTAACCAACTGGCCAGGGCAAGGGATTCATATCCTCTAATTCTCTATTCTAAAGATGAGAAACTTGACCAGAGGTGAAATAACTTATTTTGAACTGTACAAAACAATAATAATGGCAAAGCTGGCTAAAACTTACGTGCCCTAAATTACAGATGTATTGTTTTACAAAGTAAATCTGATTTGTGAAGATAATTTTATATTTTCTTATCTAAATTGTTTTCATTTTCACATCCTGGCAGATAAAAATAATGGCAGAGAATAATGCAGCTCTCCCACTGAATTTACTCTTAGATCATAACCTATCAACCTTTGGCTTACAGATAATGATGTTCTACTCACCGTTGGAACTACTGTTATGAAAAACTGAGATCCGTTAGTATTCGATCCAGCATTAGCCATGCTGAGTGTATATGGTCTGTCATGTCGTAATGTTGAATGAAATTCATCTTCAAATTCTCCTCCCCATATACTCTCTCCTCCCATGCCAGTACCTGTTGGATCTCCTGTCTGAATCATGAAGCCCTTAACAGAAAGTATACGAAAAAACACATTACATTACTTTTTTATATATGTGTGCTTTGGAGTTATGTTTGTCAGAGTGCTTTGTATTCAGTAAAATCTGAACTTTGTTAAAGTAATTCCATTAAACTAAGGAAGTTATACTTTAATTTGGATGATATATTTCCATTGTTCAACTGCTACCTAATTTAAAAACAAAAATGCATTGGTTTTCTCATTTATACAGATGTATATCTTCCCCAATAATCTATTTAAAGCTAATAGTGAACGATTCCTCCAGAATCATGAAATTCGACTTTTCCTCCTGCCATTTCTGACCTGTCAGTAGTCAAGAACTATATCTGTTTTACGGAATGCTGCTCAATGAAACCTTGGGCAGAGTTCATTCTGCTCTTCAGGTATTAATGGTGGTTCTTACAGATTAAATAGCATCTGGGATTTTCTATTATTTAAAATCTTACCTTTTAGATTGGCCAGGGGTGTCCAACCTGCACCCCATGGGCTGGGTGCTGCCTAGGAAGGCAATGAATCTGGCCCAACACAAAATCATAAATTTATTTAAAATCTTTTTTTGCTCATCAGTTTTCATTAGTGTTTGTGTATTTAATGTGTGGTCCAAGTCAACTCTTCTTCCAGTGTGGCCCAGAGATGCCAAGAGGTTGGACACTCCTGACAGACCTTATCTAGCCACTAGGAACAGGTCACCTTGGCTATTGGTTTTATGTCAGCATGACCTGTTAGTCATTATGTGATCCTGTTTTCAGCTGTCAATGAAATATTGCTGCAGCATTTCTAAAAAGGAAATTATGCTACTACTCCTATCCTTGATTCTAGATGTGATATTTATGACCATTCTTCTTTTGGCTTCCACAGTCCATTTTTCATATTCCTTGCAAATAAACTAAGTTTGAAAGATATGCCTTAGGTTTCAACCTGTTGCTATGCAATTAACTACTATTCCATATATCATAAAACTTGCATAACTTACCTTAATTATACGGTGAAATGTGTGTCCATTATAATAACCATTTCTGCTGTGAACACAGAAGTTTTCCACTGTCTTAGGGCACCTAGGAAGACATATTTTAAAAATATGAAATGTAGTTAGAATATCTTAAGATAGTTTCTTTGCAGTTCTGCTTCCTAATGGTGTTTTCAATATCTTTTGAATGTTTTAGAAGGACAGGCTTTTTCATAACCTGTTCTAATCTGAGGACAAGCAAGGGTTGAAAGGTCATATAAATTGTAGTACATTATTATTAGTTCATGCAGTATCTTTAGATCAAGATTGCTTATTATAGTTGTTTGACAGTATTCAGATTCCAAGGTTATTTAGCAATTTAAAAAATATAACCAGTGCACTTTGAAATATATACAATGAGCTGTATGTGGCTGATCCTGAAAAAGGTAATTTTCTTATAAAAACAAAATTATGGTAGCGACACATTCCAGACCAAGGACTTATTCATTGAAATATCTCCTAGATTTAATCAACTTTA